GCTGACCAATTCATTTCATCAAGTTCCTCGAGATATTCATACACTTCCTAGTATAATTGTAAACTTCCTGTTGAATAGTTTGAATTCACCAATCACCTTTGTTGTTTGTGCAACTAACCAATCATAAATAGAAAGGAAGTGACCAGAAATGATCAAATACTTGGAATTAGCTCTTTCACAGGAAGTGTATGAATATCTCGAGGAACTTGATCAAATGAATTGGTCAGCCCGAGGTAATGTATTGAATCAATATTTGAGCAACACTTCAATTGGAACGACAGTAAGTAATTGAGTAAATCAGTTTAACATTGAAAAGAAATTTAAAACAAAATTTGTTGGTGAGGATACTAAACTTATGTTGTGTTTGAATGTTTAGCATGTAATTTATTACAAATTTTACCATTAAAACTTTGTTTTGAGAAGCTGAGATTTTTTTAAAAATGTGTTCTCACAATGCAGGAAATGCTATTTCAGAGACACAAATTTTAAAAATTTCCTGATAACTCGTGCCTTCGCTACTCGGCTCACACCTTCGACGATCGCATACTTTCCTGGGGGGGGGCAAGGAGAGAATGGGCCCTTTGACAGTTTTGCCCCAATCCCCGTTTACTACCCCTTTCTTTGCGACTACTTTTTAGATCACATGGCTCTGTATTGAGAATTGCAATGCTGCAAGTAGCAGCAAAAATTGTCTCGTTTAAAGGCCAGAACACTTCTTTAGTTTTACATTATCGTTCATGTTGTCAGATCCGAATAATAATTTATTCCGTTTCTTTTTTAAAATATTTATACTACGTACTTGATAATTGAAAATTGTTACCTTTGTTTATAAATAGTTAGAAGGAACAAACCTGAGATATTTCTTCGAAGGTGAACAATCTTTCCAACAACACTCGAAGTGGGATCATGAGTAAAACAACAAGAGGGAAGATTGGTGAAATAATCTTCAAACTTTTCACTATCCATAGTATCATGACACACAAAGTTTGAATAATGGTGTACAAGTACACTTTATGCAACGGAACCTGAAAATATCACAAAACCTAAAATGAATCACGACAATAACACGCGCAGTGGCCGTTTCCGCATCCGCCAGGTTTCTTATGTTGGTTGTATAAAACTCTTCACTACTTTTTAACTCCACGTTTTCTAGTTCATTAATATGGTGAAAAATATGCATTATCTATACCACCTGCTCCAGATGATTTGTGCACACTTGGCAACCCGTTCAGTTCTCCAAGAAACTCTGGCGGTTTTGAAATGAGTGGAGAATTTACTCTGGAGGTTTATGAATGTTTCCTTCTATAAACCTCTTCACGAAAGCACTGAATGACATCTAGGAAACCCCTGTATAATGTTATCAAGTTGAAATAAAACCTACAACTTCTTGAATGTTTGACCACTCTTCACTTCTCACTCTTCGAAGGCAAATGCAAGAGTACCAACAAAACAACTACTGCAAACAGTGGTTTTAATTACTACTGACAACGGCAGCAACAACAACAACAACAACAACAACAACAACAACAACAACAACAACGACGACGACGACAGCAACAACAACAACAACAACAACAACTTACATTTTTTAAATAAGGTATATCTGGATGTTGTCCTGGCGCCATAAACATCAGAAAGAATCTTTCAATCATTTGAACACCAAATAATGCCACGACACCCATGTATAAAACCATGCCAGAGAATACTGCTTCGGGAATGTTATTTAGGTACGAGTTAAGAAATACTGCTAAACCTAGAAATGACAAACACACGACGTGTTTTAGTAATTTTGCGGCCGTTAAATAAATAATTAGTTGGGGCGCTTAGTTGGAATTTCAATCTTTTTTGTTTTGATAAAAATGGATAAGCATTCGTGCATATACGGTACCCCTGGGACAATCACAATACAGACGTTCAGATTTGACTACCATGACCTCTCACTTTGTTTGCAACTGATTTGTTTATCGGTAGATTAAGCATTGATTAATGGTTAATGGTCGCTTAATTAATGGTAGCAGTACAGTGAAAGTAAAATCTGAAGCTCTTTAACATGGTCTAGTCCAAACGAGATTATTTGGTTATATCAGGGTTGTGTAATTTTGCTCGGATTAGATTGAACGATCGGGTCACAGGAGTGTATATCAGGGTGGGCCTTTATGCTGTTTTCCATTACGATTCTTTACTCTTAGTTGGCGCAGAATGACCGAACCAATTGGATGTCAAATTGTTTCCTACTTTGATGGTTCGTGAAGCAGTTTGTAAGCTTCCCTTGTATGGTTCCAAATCGCGTTTTAAATCTTCATTTTCATGCGCAAGCCATTTTAATTTGCGAATACCCGGTAGTTCAAATGTACACGTTTTGCCGGAACGGGATGGAACTAATTATTGAAATAAGTAAATATATAGATAAAATGAAATGTCAAAAGGGCGATTAAAGAATCTGAAATGTATCGGAAATTATTGAATAGCAAAAGCAGGCAGAAACTCACCAACTAAAATTCCAGTAAAAAACAACGTCAATCTTTGTTCTCGTATTTTAACCACGTGACTTTTAACTCCAGGAGCATCGAAACTGCTCCAAACTTTCAAACTGTCCAAGTGAACAGAAGTCTCGACAGCAGCCAAACACATCCAAGGCAGACCAAGAAATGAAGAAATTAAAACCATTAAAGCGACGATAAAGAGATTAACGTGAAAACCAGAACCTTTTCTGCTTCGGGTTTGCTGTAAAGCAATGACAGAAAAGAACATTGTTGGACAGATTAGAAACATACTGTCTCCAAAACTGTCCAAATGTTTTCTTGTATATTCAAAAAATGTTAGCTTTAATAGAAGTTTTATATTTTATAGTGAATTGGAATAACTATATTACATTTTTTACGTATTGTTATTTTACTCATCAAAACACTCAACTGTTTGCCTTCCAGAATCACTTAAGGTGGCAATATTACACTTACATGCGTTATGCAGATAATATAGCTTTGCGAAGTTTGCAATTTTCAGTCATTTTAGATTACAAACGGGAAATTGACAGCCCCAAAGCTCTGGCCCCAAAGGGTATTGGGCTGTTGATTTCCCGTTTGTAATCTAAAATGACTGAAAATTGCAAACTTCGCAAGGCTATATTATTATCCGCATTTTACAACATTTCGCAACGAAACTTTGGAATATTACTAATTTTGTGATGCTCTTTCAAGCTGTGATGAAATTTTTGTCTAGATCAAAATTTAGTCTTTTACGCAAGTGGTCAATTGGTACAGTTGGTTCTTAATGAAAAGGCTAAAAGTTCATCACTTCATGCACTGATAAGACAAAATTAAAGTGCTAGACGGAAAACATATTTACCTTGTAGCACTCGAGTAAAGTAACTTCACTTTCAATAAAAAGAAGAATAACGGTCAATAAAGCAGGAATAGCTGCCAGTGGTATTATACCATATGAAAAGAATCCCTCAAACATCTTGTTAAAATCAGGAGTAATGAGACGATTTCTTCTTGGCGAAGTAGGTTGAAAACCATCTGGTATATTGATTGTGTTAAGATAAACACCGAGAAAGTATGTGACTACATTCATGATGTTTACAGCAAAAGGAATGCTGAAGAAGTTGAGCAAACGACGTATCTAAATAAATTGCAAGGAATGAATAATGGTTTGACCATTAAAGGCTTATACTCTACCTATTGAGTATTGTGCTGCACACTAGATATTCAAGCAACGGTCTTGTTGTAACCTATTTTAAATTTAAATGCACATCTACTAGATATACAGTGTGGGTATACGCACATGTTTTTCAAAATGTACGCTACTTCTACAGGCATCGTTTGTTGCAATGTTTTGTGAGCAATGTAATCGGTTGCTCATGACGACCATGTTGTAACCCGCGCCAGACTCAAAGGCCGTTTTCCATGACAGATCTATTCGAATGATGTTAACAACCAGAGGCATGGGAAAGCTTATATATTTTGGCGTGTACAAGCATGTCCACGAACACTATATAGGCTTATTCGTCTCGGAGAAACCATAGCCTATCGAAGGGAAGATGGCTGTGAAACTCATTAGAATAGCAATATATCTCAATAAACGTTGACTACGTTTATTCATAAATCTGGTCCTTCACCGTCACGTGCGTATTGTATTTTAACTAACCAATAGCAATGTTTTACGAAAGTTACCTGTCCGTGACTCGAACAATAAGGAAATTGAAAACATCTCTATATTTATACAATATTATTACAAAGTTTCTTACCGGAGGTGAAAAGAATCTTGTCTTCTCAAACAATCGAAATCCGAGTGCAATACCAAAAGTTGCAAACATAAATATGGTATATAACAAAGCTGTATTTGGTTTTTCATTGCTGCCTTCATATGTTGTATTTACACTGCCGCTGGAGTTAATGACTCTGAACTGATACTCCTTTCGTAAGGGGTGCTGTTCAAACACCTACATAACGATATAATCTATGTATGCATACACGATCATCTGAATCAATAAAACATTAGTTGCGCAAACCAGGAAAACTTATTGCAGAAACATTTGAAAATTACGCTGTTGTTGTTGTTGTTGTTGTTGTTGTTGTTGTTGTTGTTGTTGTTGTTGTTGTTGTTGTTGTTGTTGTTGTTGTTGTTGTTGTTGTTGTTGTTGTTGTTCTAAAAGCCTTATATCTAAGAACGCCAAGTTAATTTGAATTTGAACTGAATTCTTAATAGCACAAACCTTGACTAAATTTTTAATTCCTTCAAACATAAACAACAAGGCAACAAGAACATGAAGAGTTTCTTCAGTAAATCTTGTACAGTAATGGATCCAGTGAGTTTTATCAAACGCCAGGATGAGAAGAAGAAATAAGAAAATCCATATCCCGGTTAAAAAACGGAATTGAAAAAAGTCTATTGCCACTATTTGAGATGCCTGAAACAGAGAGAGCAAAGCATAAGTGATCAACGGTCAACAGAGGATGCAAATCTACAAACAGTCCAGTGTACGTATTATATTCCACAAAACTGTCGTGGTTTTGTCATTTCAGTCGGTCTGATGAATCTTTTCTGAGGTAATCGGCATGAATGGAACCATATTACTAAATGAACCTTGCAGGCTTTATTCAGATATGGCGCACAAATACTATTTTTCTTTGATCATGACCCTGTTCACAACCTTTCCTCTAATGCTAACCTTAATTATGTATGCTCGTGGATACAAGATATAAACCAGATATAATCCGAGAAAATATGGAGATAGCGTAGCCAGGTTTAGACATAATTAAAATAAAAATAAACGTTCTCTGACCACGATTTTTATTTAAACGAGCTTTCGACTACCTAACTGTAGTCTTCGACGGGTTAAAGCAGAAATCCGTTTCATATGAAATGCATCTGTCATATAATCCGTCACCACACGGTGTCAACCTTTGTTTCATATGAAATGCATCTGTCATATAATCCGTCACCACACGGTGTCAACCTTTGTTTCATATGAAATGCATCTGTCATATAATCCGTCACCACACGTTGTCAACCTATGTTTCATATGAAATGCATCTGTCATATAATCCGTCACCACACGGTGTCAACCTCTGTTTCATATGATATGCATCTGAACAATTAACCTCAACTAACAATAATTTTTGTTTGTGGAAACACCACGTAAATTTATTACTGCAGTAATAAATTTACGCGGTGTTTCCACAAACAAAAGTGTGATATATTTTATCGCCATGCAATCATACAAAGAACTTAACTTCAACTAACCTGATAGGTCGAAGCCTCAACAATAAGCATTGCAGCAGTTCCAGCTATCACAGACAACGGTTCGGTTGCAAAGATCGCCATTAATATACAAGATAGTGAAGTTGCTGAAAGCATTTCTACTGGACCGAGATTCCCCATAGTGTACTTGCAGATCACCTGTCCATACGTCAGACACATTGCTGTTAAACTGATTGCTAAGTAGAATAACGAGGCAAGACACTGGATATGAAAACCATCTTTAATATCTGACCAATACTGAGAATAGCGAGGTTTAAACTCTCTCTGTAAACCGCCAAACCATCTACCATTGGGGTGAAGTGGATGAGTTTCTCGTGAGTCTTCATCATCATCACTGATACCAATATCACAGCTGTCAGGAGGATCTTCCACCAACGTCTCATTCTCGCTTTCGTTTTTTGCTGCAGTGGAATATGAGCAGTGAGGTTAAAAATACTTAGGCACTAGGCAGAGGAATATAGAACAAACAAACAAACAAACAAACAAACAAACAAACAAACAAACAAACAAACAAACAAACAAACAAACAAACAAACAAACAGACAGACAGACAGACAGACAGACAGACAGACAGACAGACAGAAAGACAGACAGACAGACAGACAGACAGACAGACAGACAGACAGACAGACAGACAGACAGACAGACTGTCAGACACAGCTTTTCACGTGCTTTATACATGCAGTAGATTAATTTAAAAACTAATTCGTTCCATCTCGTATTTCACCAAACCTGTACGTCCCTGTAAAAAACATAAATGTAGCCAACAATAAGATACTTACAAATTTTTCTAAACCTTGTCTTGACAGGGCAGTCTCCTCGTCTTGGTAGCGTCATTGACCTAGATGTCTTCCTTACTACTTCTTGTCCATTATCACCATCTTGCATACCATTGTGATACACCAAACCTTTCATCATGAAACTACCACAAGTTTTGCTCTCATGACTCGCCATAAATCTTTTCCTTCGCGATGTTTGAATTTCCTCATGATCTGTTTCTTTCGACTGATTGCTGATATAGCTCCAGCCACAGGGATGAGTAATTCTGGTTTCCAATTTCCCGGAGGTAACATGACACTTTCTTTCATGAACATATTTGAAGCTTGGGCCAAATCATTCGAAGTCTTTGCACGTATTGCATAACGAGCAAATGTCTAGGAAGAAATTGAACAACGATATCATGACTGGCTTGTGAAAATGCATTCTGCGATATTTTAGTCATGCTGTCACCATTTGTCGCAAATGTAAATCAAACTGATTATATAATTATTCATGAAATAATTAATGTTAGGGAATATGACAAAGAATAGATATAAGCTACTCGTTTGTACTCGCGGCGAAATATTTAGATCACGTTTATACATTTGTTTGCAAATATGTCTTAGCACATTATTCGGTTTTTGCTCAAGGACAAAATGAGGAGTGAAGAAATAAAAGGAAGATGTGGGAAGATATTACAGAGAAGGTGAGGGAAGCAAGGTTAAGATTGTATAGACACGTGATAAGAAGCGAAGAAGAAGAGCTATTTAGAAACACTATGGAAGAAAGAGATCGGAAGAACATGTGGGGTCGTAGGCATTAGGGAGAAGGTGAGGGAAACATGAACATGTTATTAGAAGAGATAGAGGAGATAGGGTAGAGACACTATGGAGTGATGGGAGCAGAAGAGTGAGAAGACGATGTGTGGTTGCGTGCATATCAGCAAAGGTGAGGAAGCAAAGCTCAGATTGCATGGACATGTGATAAGAAGAAATTTGAGAGAGGTGGACCAATGGAATGAAGTGGTCGAAAGATGTAGGGTGCTACATACTGAAGAGAAGGTGAAGAGAGCAAGGCTGAGATGATATGGGCACATAATAAGTTGACCGAATACATTATGGAATGAAAAATCGGAAGACGATGTGGGTGGTAAACGTTATAGAAAGATTGAGAAGGTATGGACATTTTATTAAAATAGATGAAGGACACATAGAATGAAGAGATGAGAAGAAAACATCACAGCGAATGCGAGAAAGCAAGGCTGAGATGGTATGGGCGATAATAAGAACAGATGAATAAAGCCAGTTGGAGACATTATGGAGCTATAGATAATGGGAACAGAGAACGGGGGAGAACGGAGAAGAGATGGATGGACCTAAATATCAAGGTATTGACGAGTGTATTCCTCATTTCTGCGTGCAATCAAATGATCAAGCGTACGTTGAGATTCGATGCGAAATTTTATTTAAAGTTTGTGACGGCAACCAGGCATATCGCTACTCTAGTTTTTATAAATGAATGTATTAAAAACCCAGGACGTGAATGCAATTCGACTGGGCTTCGCATTCATTTATAAAAAAACAGAGTAGCGAACGAAAACATGGCGAAATTTTATGTCTTCATATTCAATTACGCTTCGACAACATATGATATGCACTAATTTATTCGGTTTAGTCCTAGGTTGTAATTGTTGGTTCAAGAATATGTGATGATTTGAGGACTTGCTGCTGGCGCAATACATGCACCCTTACGGAAAATTCTCCACCTTGGCTGTAGAGCCTCGTTTTCGTGATTTGAGATATTGGGTTTAAAGTCTTATCTTGTTATAGATAGACACATTTACAAAATCATACAGTTATATTAGATAATACAAAAGATCTTGATATAATTAGGTTATCAGTGACAAGTTAAAGGGTTCTAAACCCGATATCTCAGACGCTCCTGGAAGGGTCTATTCGTAAATGGACAAATTCCTTACCCTATCCTTAAACAGTGCTGCCGCCGCTCGACATATTTGATAACTATCCATATGTATTGCATGTTTCGAAGTGAACAAGATATACAAAAAACGAATTGGAATAGAAATTTCCATGAAGTCTGGAATTGGTTCCTCATTTTCAAATCTGATGAATACAGGAAGACACTCGTCTCGTTTGAGGAAATCAACAGCTGCATTAAATATCACGACTCCAGTAGATTCAGGATGAATAATCTTTCGTAACTTGATTTGTTCCTTTGTTCTACGAAGATGATTATTGTCTGAACTCTCAGTGTTTTCACATGAGCTGGCGTACTCCGTGCTAGGACTGTGTTCTGCGTTTAAATGCTCAACATCATGATGTTCGTCGTGATCAAACTGTTTAAGAAGATCTTTCACTGGACATCTATTTTCAAGAAGTAAATTTTCCTGCAGGAGTAATTAAAAATTAACACTTATTAACAATTAACTTCAAATGTGGGACTCAACGTGAAGCAGTTGTACAAATGGTGGATACGTTATCTGCTGGATAAGTGGATCCTATCTGGAGCCAGCTGAATGAAGGTCGGATAGAGACTGCGCGCAGGCTAGCTACCCACCGGAAAGCTATAAAAATACGGATATGAACCACGCGGTTAATAGAACGAAACTTCAATTTATAAATGCTCCGAAGTTTTAAATCACTGATGGATGAATCTTCTATCTGATAGATAGCGACGTATTTAAGGGTAAGTGATTCATCCACCTTTCAAACAAGAGAGGAGTGGCCATGGGTTTAATATATTTCTTCATCTAAGAACATATTCGAGGGGAAGGATTGTTTGAGATGACGTGATTTAATTGAACATTAGTCGCCGAAGTTGTGGTGATTACAAAGCCTATGTTACTGAACCGCAACAGCCAAGCGAAGTAACTATTCAGACCTTGCAGACATCACCAAGAAATATTACGTCAACCTAGGAAACCCGCCATTTTGGGTGGCAATAATAATGGTGGGTAATATAACCACTATCTGAATTCGTCAGAGAATTGCCTTTCTGAAATTGTATTAATTAAGCCGGTTTTGGTGGATGTGAAACAATTAAATCACATTGTGTGTTGTGACGAATGTCAGAATCAGGGTGCTTCCTGATTTAGCAGTATTTTGTCGATTTAAAACTGCTCAGAAAAGCCGATTTTCTTCCAAATTGAGCTGCTCCTGAAGACGCCATTATGATGGAATGTGATAGCAACTGGGCTGCCACTGGCTATCACTTTTTGGACACTCAATTTCAACCTGAATCAGAATGAAAAGCAATAGGATCCTTACAATTTCTTCCAATAGGAGATTTCCTTACCTAGACAAATTTAAAATGTTTATACAAAACTTTCACTTACCCAAACAACGGACTTTCCTCTCTCTCCTCTCTGTTGATCCAGTGCTTTTCTTGCCAACTTTACCCAACGATTTCTTACTATATTATCTGACATCTCCCACGCATGCGCCATTCCCTCTTCTCGTATCTTACTAGCGAGTCTCAATGTTTCACGACTCAACTGTACTTTCTTACGAAAATGAGAAGTTGACTCTCCTTGATGCATGCGAGGTAGTGTCATGATTTGTTGTAGTCTAACACGATGTCGAGGCTCAGCATGACCACCAAGTACCAACATGTTGGCTATGGTATGAGATATATTGAACCCACCATCATTTATACTGCCAAGTGACACCAAACCTAAGAATGATAAACCGCTATGCGCTTTGACATAATCCAGTGCCATCGTTAGCTAAACAAATACCGTGGCTAGATTGTAGATGAAATATTGCAGATTATTCTACGCTCATGTGAAATTTTCGTCTTTGTTAAAACAGATTATACTCTGATCAGCCAATGAACGTTTAACTAGCCTCACGCAAGATTGGCTAAGCTACACCATGGTTAAACACGTCAGAACACACAACTTGTAACAAACCTGCAGCAGACTTGTACCAATGCTGTTTCAACAACTTGTCGCCAGGATGTGTTCGCACTGCTTGCCCCCAGCTTGTTGATGAGTTGTCAACGGCTTGTTGAAAAGTTGCTACAAAGTTCGTTGACTCAACAAACTTCGCGCAACTCAACCAATTTTAAACACGTTGTGAGTGACAAACTTGTAGTAATTTGACAAACTAACAACATTGTTACAACTTGTTGGCAAGCTTGTTGCCTTGTTACAAATCTGTTACGAACATATCTTGTTGACAAGTTGTGAGATGTTTGCGTGTTTAATTGAAACATTCTTGCTACAAACATGGATGTTTCACGTGACAGAGGGAATATTATTAATCTGCGATTCAGAGAGACAGAGGACAGTATTGTCTCAATAGAAAACGTCCTTCAAAACTTCCTTGTAGTTTAATAAATACAATATTTACTAACCATTGTGTAAGGATTGTATAAAACTTTGCAAACACTCAGCCTCGATATAAGGAAGGAACGGTCGTCCCCAGTTCCCACCCGGTTCAACATTTTCTTCATATTTGATCCAACGAGCTTTTTCCCTCCAATACAAACCAGAACTGTCAAGCTCGTTTAACTGCACGAAAAACTATAAAACACCAAATTAAAGCTCTATAAGAGTAGTTTTATATAGGGCTTTAACCAATACTTTTATAGGGCAATAAAAAAACTAAAATGACTGAATGAAAAAGTTACGTACATTTATTTATCATCTTTATTACATCGACGATACATGACATGTTAAAGGCACAACAGTTCAGCCTTTTGAATGATAATTTTTAAGGCGCTTCAGGCCTTTTAATTGAAAAAACTAACTAGGAAAATCAATTAAGCATAATTCAAGATCAGCAAACTTACGCCTGTATTTAAAAAGCTCACTCACACTAACACTCAATGAGTGGACACTCGTTGTTAATGAGTGCAACTCACCACTCAATGAGTGTCCACTCACACTAACATAGTCTAATGCGACACTCACACTCCAACTATTCAAAGACACCACTCACACTCAAGTGAAGCTCCGATTTTGAGTAAAGTGTGAGTGAGAGGTATACGTCCCTTGAGCCGCACTCAGTTAGACTCACCTTGTACTTGGTGATTCAAATATGATGGACAGGTGGTTAAGAAGGTCAGAATTACTGGACAGTGTCGCAAGAAACAACAGAGATGGAGGAGACCATATATTTTTGATTATGGGAAATATGACGAGGAGAAATTTCGATGCAGATACCGGGTATAAACTGAGGCTGGATTTCGAAAGTTACGGATATAATTAGGCCAGAAATATCTGCACACAACGACCGAGGAAAGCCCATTCTCGCAGATATACAACTTTTGTTGACGCTCAGGTTTTTAAACTGCTTCGAATCCCTCTTCTTCACACCTGACTGGGAATTGAATTGTTCGGATAAACCTTCCCACGTGTTAATTTTCTGTTGTATGGTTTTATAATATTATCAAACTTTTTAATTTTCTACAAGATCTTTGTGCTTTTGCACTAATTTAGTTAAGAGCGACTTTTTCAATTGCGAAAAATATTGTCTGCCTTCAGCCATATTGTTCACCAACGCTGTACGAAAGCATTGACAAATCTACAACAGTCTCACTAGTTTATATACCTTCTTTCGTTAATTATACTTTAACATCAAACCCAAACTCCAGCAAGTCATACTCGAGTGAGCTCTTTGAATACAAATCTAGCTAATATTTTCAAGGGTGAGTGCTCCCTCGTTGAGTGGACACTCACACTCATACTCCACTCTCACTCACACTTCAACCCTACTTGAGTGCATCTCATTCGAGTCACACTCAAGTGTGAGTGTGAGTGAGCTTTTTGAATACAGGCGTTAATGTTTTTAACATTTTAAAACATTTTTTATTGTTAAAAACATTGAGTTTACTGATCTTGAATTATGCATATAATTGATTTTCCTAGTTAGTTTTTTCAATTAAAAGGGCTGAAATGCGCCCTAAAAACCATCATTCAAAAGACTGAACTGTGCTTTTAAAAACCGTCATTTTAGATTACAATCATCTGCGTTATTATCAACGTGTGACCAGATAATACAACATTGGTTACTAAGAATTTCATTACTTTGATATACAAATAGGCAAGAATATTGGATTAGTATAAGGGTGTAAAAATATGGAGATTGTCAATTACAATTAAGAAGGTTAAAATTGAAATCTTTGTATCTGAGGGAGGATACACTAGGCGTAGGGTTCATTAAGATCTCTCTGTCTGTTACCAGGAAATATGTGAGCAAACAGTTGTGAATAGTTAGGTGTGACAATGACTTTGAAACGAGATAAACTTACGTCTTTCTCATCATGCGCAGACAAATCGTGTACTGAAGAAGATCTTTCCAGCATTTTTCGACTTGGTTTAATTTTACTGGAGTCCGTCGCAACATCACATGATGTTTTCGTACATGGATCAACGATAATTTCAGGAATATCTAAAAAGAAAATCTCAGAATATTAGATAGCAATGTTTTCTCAGAGACATGACGTTGCAGAAAGAGGTGGACTTGAAGGACTTATTTCATGCTTTTACGCCGTCTCCCACTCGAGATCATAATTGACCAAATAATAATTGTATATAATTTTTCCAGGAGTGCGTGGTAAAGATAATTTCCAGGCGTTTCCTTTTTTCTTGCAAACATCTTAACACAGCTAAATTCTTCCGCAACTTTCATCATTGCCTAACTTGGGCCGTTTTTCCTTTAAAAAAAGTGGACATTCAGACAGCGGCCTGACATGCTAGTACCTGATCAGATTTCACCTTTGGATGGATTCTAACGTTGCATCAAGAAAGATGACAAGGACCTTTTGCAATCAGTGTTCCTCACCATTCTATCCAAACTCTTACAAAACAACTTGTTCATCGAATCCAGTCTTACGAATCAAGTTAATAGAGCAACTGACTTTTGCACTGTAAATTTTTCTTAATTTGTGGGGATTCCAAATTTGTCGGGAATGTCAAATGGAACGCAACGTATTATGTTTTACGTACAATGGAAGATTGAAGAATGCTGAACAGGCTGAGATCTGTGATACCGCTGCATGTTGTAAATAAATCAAGACTGTTTTTACCGCAAAGCTGCCATGTTTATATATTATATACCGCATATATATATACCGTGGAAGTTATAGCTCTTAACTTAAGAACCTTGTTATAAAGCCGACATATTATTGCTGACTGATAATATATTGAACTGATTTAATAATAAATTTTTAAAGCCTCATTTTGTATAGAAGTATACACGTATGAATGTAATGTGTCATCTATATGCACACTGTCACTGATATAATCAAATCATGATAGAAAAAACTTGGAAAAAGAAAAGCGCGAAGTCACAATCCTAGTCGGATCTGCAAACTGCTGCAGCCGCATGTATAATGAATTACAATTTAATCCTATATAATGAACTGATCCAATTAGGTCACATTCAGCTGTTGCGCGAAGAACGCTCAAGACTCAATGTGCTGCTGTTTTGTTTTATAACTGCATGTAGATCACCATTTTATATTATTATTCACAAAAACTAAACAAGTACTCGCTACAGAACTCGTGAGGTTACGAAATAGAAAAAACAGATAAGAAAAAACAAAGACATAACAATCACATAGATTATACAACTAACATATTGACGGAGATTACAAGTGAACCACAATTCCACAAGCATCAAGTCAGCGATATTAAATCCAAAAACATTTTATTTTTACATGTCATTTTAAGCTCATTAACAGTCTCAAGACCAAAATAGATTCATTATGAATTTAGTATACAGGACAATTTCACTTCATTGGGACAAATATCAGAAGATCATCTCGATGTTCGGAAATCGTTCCCTCGTTTGAAGACTAAATCTTGCGGTCTATAAACACTAAATTGAAATGCCGGCTAGCTTTTTTCCATCAAAAAACAAAAATGTACAAAATGGACACTCGTAGCGACATTTGGGATGAAAATCGTGTCGAAGATGGCACTTGACATTTTATTCGGGAGGTCGTTTCTTCCCGAATCAAAGCGATATGTCGCTGGCATGCAAGCCATGCCCCATGCTAATGTACTGAGCATACTAAGCCATTCAGTTACGCTGGGGGAGGCCACTTAAAGTAAGATGATACAAGATAAGTTATTCATGCTCTTGAATTACAACAGCGAAATTACAAAACATATTAGAAAATAAAAATTTAGGATAACCGTGCAAAGTTTTGTTTGCTCTACCACCGGCTATATCGCCTTACCGGGATTGGTGTCTACCACCGGCTATATCGCCTTACCGGGATTGGTGTCAATAAGGTTCATACAGAAGTCAACATGAAATCATTCAACAACTTCACCTCATCCAGTCATCGTTTTCTCAATCCTCACATGCAGGGCAAAGCGGCGGGAGATTTTTTCAGATATTCGTTCAGCCCGACATACATTCTAACTGTACCTGAACTCTGGCCTTCACCATGATTTTCTAACTGGACCAACACTGATTCTACATTCGATTGGAGTTTCCTAGGCATCTACATGAAGAAAACAGATGGAGACCTCCAATTCCCAGATTTAAAAAATTCAACAAAGTTAATACTACATCACGCATATAACCAAATAAGAAGGAATATTTGACATTACTTTTCATAGATTTCCATGAGCACTACATATTTTCTTTGTAAACATCATCAACAACGTCCAGTGCACACAACATAGCCCATGATCCACGTCAAGAATTGTGCAGCTATAGAAGTCATTAACACGCCATTTGCAGTCCAACAAGACGCAATATTGTTCACTGAACGTTTGGATATTAAAACGATGTTCAGTGGAATAGTCTGTATTCCAATAGATATCCGTCCGTAACAAAGTTGCTTAAAAGAAAACATGTCTAGAAAGACACAGCAGTGTTTTGATCGCTTTGAGTTAACGATGTAATTATTTTTAGTTTTTAATAGATTGCAATTCAATTAATACTTTACTTAATTTTTGTAATTAACATGTTGTAATTAATTCCGTGTATGTATTGATCAGTTTGGAGGAAATGATATGCGCTATAAATCTTAAAATAAAAAGGAAAATTTTAGTTGCTATTTGTCAACACTCACGCTGAGTCATGCTGCAACAGCGCTTAAGGAGACAACTATATTTATTTAGTAAATCTAACCTGAACTCGTGTGGCTTTGGCACACGATTCCGCATACGCAAACTTTATATATCTGATACTCTTATTTTTAATGATCAGTAAAGTTGATTTTCCACAATTAATACATGCAAGAAAATCTCAAGGATTTGCCATTAATAATTTTCTGCGAGATTGATGTACGCCACCTTTGAAGCAAAACTAAAATGCTCTTCCAGAAGTTTGTTGATAATTTTGTAATTTTCATGATGCAAAAAACACAAAGGAAATAATGATCATGAAGGAGTTTGTATGTGTCTGAAGCAGAATCCTATTGAGTTACACTTTAATGAAATATCTTACTAATAAAATAACATTCATGTATGTAAGATTACTGAAGAACACGAACGCTTTCATCAACACGAATGACAAGCTATATCACCACCAGGGCCATGTTACTACTTTTATAATGTGTTTTTTTTTTTAATTATTAAGTGAAATGGCGCTTATAATCTTGTGAATTAGAAGCGTGGATACATGAGACGCGCAGAAATAGATAGTCCATCTTGAAAACGATTAATACATATTAACGAGTATTTCTGGGATTTCATGCATTCTCTAAGATACATAAAAAAGACCTCACTTCACGAAACACAATCTGTCATTCAGTTTCTCCGACTAAACATTAATATCTGAACATGAATAACTTACTATACTACTCTATACTTCATGTTGTTTATGTAAAAGGTTGAGGTAAGTGTTATCAGTCGAGTTACGTTTTTTACTGACACTTAAAACGTGATACTTAATAGTTACCGCCATTGAACAACTTTTTCGGCGAACTAAAAGTGAAACTGGACTAAAACTGTTTTAATTAATTTTTTATTTTATTAATAAAAAATTAATATTTAGATATATTAATATTATGTCAGATATTGTTTAGAGAAAGTTGAAAATTCTGCGGAAAGGTTCAAATAGTGTTGTAAACAACTTAATTCTCGACTTAATTTATAAACATTCTTTTTCGGTGTGGGATATTAATCTCGTTCTTTTTTCGTGTCCGCATTTTATAATAAATGGAATTGAAATTAATAAATGGCCTCGCCTTCGGCTCGACTGATAACACTTACCTCGACACTGATAATTCTGGACATCACAAAAACCTCATCTATTATAACGTTTTACTATGTGTGCTTTAAATATGATCTAAATGGAAACCAGGTAGTAATCAATCTCGTACCCAGAGTATAACCTGCGAATGGGCATACTCTGCATGCAGGGTATGAGAGTTTCGCTATAGTGGAAAGATAGCATACGGAGAGTGGAACGAAATCAATTCCCTTGTCAGCGAAACGTCGCTCAATACTTCATGTTAAAAAGTTTAAAAGCCGGCTCTTTAGAGAAGAGAGGTTATATGTGTTCAGTCTAGTGGACCATGACCTTCTTCATCTTCTTCATTATCAAGCTAAAAAACATCCAAGAAATACAATTTAACACTTGGGCATCCCACACCACTTAGAAGAAATATTCTGATCGAAAAGTTCTAATGCAGTGGTGTTTAAGACCGTGTTCTATTCTGAACATATCGCAAAGAAAGTAGTGCATTCCGTTGTTTTAGAAATACTGGAGCAAACTACTAAATTAATGGCATTGGCACAACAAATGTTCTGGGCTAGGAGTGTACATAGAAACGTTAAACAGGCTTTCGAATTCAGACCGCTATAAAGTTTATTAATAACTTCTTGTTATATAGAGTTATCAGTGCTAACAACTATTTAACACTTATTGACTGGGGCGGGAAACAGTATCTTTTGTGGACTCAAGACTGCCAATGTTTCTTAAATCGAGTGAAACATTGGCAGTCGAAGGCGCACAAAATATACTGTTTCCTGGAAGTCCCAGGCAATATGTGTTTTATTATATACCAAATGTGAAAGAGAACAAAAAACAAAAAGAAACGGGAAACGTACATGTTTGCATTATAACTCAACAATTTTATTATTGACCTCTGAATAAAAACAACGTCCATGGCGCTTATTACATCAGAGCTGCTGCCACGTGACAGAATTTCGAGATTTTCATGTCGTACGCTCTCGTCCAATGAGATGCAAGGAAACATGAACTTTGATACTTGGTATATAATAGTAGTTATTATACATTTAGTATGTATTCTCGTTCCTGATTGGTCAGAGAGCACCGGATAATTCTCAATATTTGGTATTTATTACGTAATTTCAGCTGCTGGCGTGCTAATCGTCCAGTAATAGTTTTCTTTTATCGAACTGCTTGCATAAAAAAAACTTATTGGACGCTGTCGTGCCCAAGTCTCGGCGCGGCCAACAACTCAAACCCAAAAGCGCGCGAAAATAAAATAAATATACTTGAAACATTAACAAACAGCTTCGCTTCAGCAGATAACATTGACCTCCGTCTGAATAATTCTTGATGTCATGCTCATCCAATAATTGTTTATTATTACAAATGAAATGTATTTTTAATAAATGTACGAACCTGTTCAATATGTTCTTGAGTGAACACTCTCCCCAGCAAAGCACGAAGTGGAATCATTAATAAAACAAACAAAGGGAAAAGTGGTGCGACATTTTTAAAACTTTTGACAATCCAAAGAATAACCACGCAGCCAACTTGAATGATGGTGAATAAATACACTTTGGATAACGGAACCTAGACAAATCAAGACAGCGATTAACATTGGACATATACCGTTATACAGTGACGTACCGACTGGGGGAAGGGGGCAATATTTGTTCATGAATAATTTCAGCTAAATTTTGAGGTGACTTGACCTGAAGGTGCATTGACAGACTAATGTGGAAGTTAAAAGTAAACACAAGCTAAGAATGGAAAATTTTAGTTGTTTTTCCAAGTCTACAGAGGGTCTAAATATTCATAATTTTCTCCAGGGACCCCGGACCCCCTGGTAGATTTAGACCCGTATCCATTATGCTAATAGATAAGGCTTTCGAATGAAACACTCGCTACTTGGATGTAGTCATGAAAAACCACACTAAATTTCAAACATTGCTTTTACGTAACGTAGAATGTTAAATCGGGTAATTTGACCCCCACGTCTTCGCTACGTCCCTGCCGTGATATCATTTTGGATGTGCAGCAATCTCGTACCCAGAGCAATGCCTGTGCGCCGGCTAGGATGGCATTGGCTCTGGGGAAATTGAATTTTTTCTGTGCTGTGACTGGTTTAACGTTTATCAATCGTGCATGCCGACAAAGAACAGGAACCCCTAAATTTAGGTGTTCCGGTTGTCAATTTCCCCAGAGCCAATGCCATCCTAGCCCGCGCACAGGCATTGCTCTGGGTACGAGATTGGATGTGCAGTGGAACCCCGTTAATTAATACGATTATGGACGGGCTGAAAAAATTTGACCGTTTTAACGGGGTGGCCGTATTAACGGGGTGACTGGGGTCCCACTGTATTATTTGGTTTGAAAGTCAAAGCAAACATGTGTCATGTGCAAGTGTTGCAAGCGTATAACGGAAACATGAATGATGAAATAATACAGTACTTACACTTTTTAAATAAGGTATATCTGGATGTTGTCCTGGCGCCATAAACATCAGAAAGAATCTTTCAATCATTTGAACTCCAAATAATGCCACGACACCCATGTATAAAACCATGCCAGAGAATACTGCTTCGGGAATTTGATCCAAATACGAATTAAGAAATGATGACAACCCTGTGAAAAATAAATTACTTATTCAAATAAATAAACTGATGTTGGATAAATGTACATATAGAACTTGGATTTTAATAAATATACAGATAATAAACTATGATGATACCAAAATGGAGGCCAAACAACAAAAGTCACAAAAAGATATGTTCTATTTCCAATAGGTTGTGTTCTGCTTAACTCATGAGAATAGACATTAAAGTCAAGGCAATAGTACTAGTATACTTTACGTTAGATAGGAAAACTACTTTTTAAATCATTTAACACGATTTAACATATTAAGAAATTAAGATTATTCGAACCTTCTTAAGGGGACTTAGGGGAGGACCATTAGAAACATTAGAGGCATAATAAATCCTTCATTCTCGGTATTTATCTCTAACTTAATGCTTTGTTGATTACATTCCTCAAAGAAATATTGACTTGTTTTCGCAGCCTGCGTCTATGCATAGACCTCGTGTGCACGTTGATGCCATCGCCACTCACCAATTAAAATTCCAGTAAAAAACAACGTCAATCTTTGTTCTCGTATTTTAACCACGTGACTTTTAACTCCAGGAGCATCGAAACTGCTCCAAACTTTCAAACTGTCCAAGTGAACAGAAGTCTCGACAGCGGCCAAACACATCCAAGGCAGGCCAAGAAATGAAGAAATTAAAACCATGATCGCAACAACGAGAAGGTTCACATGAAATCCGGATCCTTTTCTACCACGAGTTTCCTGTTAAATAAAATCAATGTTCGTTTTTTATCAATATTTCTCAGTTGAGGCAGGTATCAAGCAAATATTTATTTATTTATTTATATAACTTCGCCATTTGATAAATTTACACAAAACGGTAGAATATAATAGAAGACATTACAGTACAATATATAGTTCAGTCCAGTACAATACATACAGTACAATGCAATTATATTGTAAGCAACAGATGGCTGCGACACCACAACAGTTAAAATCAATTACTGTGGGCCCTTTTATTAACATATAATAACTAGAAACAACAATTTACAACATTGTTCAAACTACGACAAGAGTTACAGATTAAACACACAGATTTCCACGTTTTTGGATCCTCTGCATCATAGCAACTACGCAGGGCTTCCAAATAGTAGCTCCGCAGCAATCTCTTAAATGTACTTAACAACATATTTGGCTGTTTTAAGTTTGTTGGAAGACACTTCCATGATCAGGTAACTCGGGATGGAATAATAGGTTGAGGGAGAACATCTTTAGACACGTAGATCAGACTATTTAGAACACAACATCCATATACTCGTGCCAGTATGATAGTGGCATCAGTTCCAAACTTATCAGCCTGTCGCGGTAGGACTCGTCGCACAAGTAGGGAAGGTTCAGGATGAATTTTGACGCTCTTCTCTGTACACGTTCTGTTCGTCTAATTAGACCTATAGTCTGGGGAGACCATACTTGACTTGCGTAGCCAAAACCGGGCGGACAACTGATAGATACAGTTTCCGGCGGGTCCGTGAGTTGGATATTTCTCCACCGCTTCTCCTCACGAAACCTAGCAATTTGTTGGCTTTCGCACAACGTTCTAAAACATGCTTGGTCCATGTGAGATCACTGGCAACCCAAATTCCCAACTTCTTCTCAACCGACGTTGTTGTGAGTTCCTTATCTTTGATCTTATATGGATAAGTAGTAGGCTGGATTTTCCCAGTCACGCGCAGACACTTGCATTTGAGCTGGTTGAAGACGAGACCACTGGATGTAGACCAATTTTCTAAGTTACTCAGATCGCTTTGGAGGAGTGCAGCATCGGAGATGGAGTCGACGCAACGGAAGATCTTGGTGTCGTCAGCGAAGCAAGCCACTTTTGAGTTCTCAACAGCATCAGGAAGGTCATTAACGTAGAGGAGGAACAGAATTGGGCATAAAATACTGCCTTGAGGCACTCCCGAAGAAACTGGTTTTGCAGAAGACGTTGCACCGAGAGTAGTTACACGTTGTTGCAGGCCATGTAGATAGTGTGAAAACCAGTTAAGCAGAGACCCTCTAATACCGTAGATTGCAAGTTTGTTAACAAGAGCAGCATGACTGACTTTGTCGAACGCTTTCGACATGTCCATGAAGATAACGTCGGTTTGTTTTCTGGAGTCTAACAGAGAACCGAATGGTGTAGTTCAGCACTTCGACAAGCTGGGTGGTACATGATCTGCCTCGGGTGAAGCCATGTTGTGACGAGTTTAGTAGTTGTAACAAGTGATCGCGCAGCTTGTTCAACACGCAACGCTCGAAGACTTTCGATACAACGCAGAGGAGCGATATTGGACGATAGTTCTCAACGAAGGATTTGTCACCTTTCTTGAAAACTGGTATGATGTTAGCCAGTTTCCATTCTTCTGGTAGAGAGCCACTATCGAGAGATCGATTGAATAGAGTGGATAGCGATGAAGCAATTTGGTGGGCGGTTTCCTTTAGTAGTCTGGGCGAAATTCCGTCTGGATATCTGGGTCATTTGTACAAAGGGCGGATAACGCTTTCCACCATTGATTTTTTCAACTTTTGTAAAAATGCTTGAAAAGCAATAAAATAACGGATATGGATAATAGCAACTTTAATTCAACAACATTTTAGTCCTTAACATTTCTTTAATACCTTAAAACAATCCAGCAGCGTGACTTCACTTTCAATAAATAGAAGAATGACGGTGAGCAAAGCCGGGCCAATAGATAGAAGAATAACCCAGTAGGAAATACTTCCTTTAGACAATTTATCCCCGTCTGGTATTACAGAACGATCTCTCTTCTCAGGCGATGTCACCCCCAATCTCTCAGGAATGTGGATTGTGTTGAGATAGACATCAACGGCGTACACAATGCCAATCATGACGGTTATTGCCACAGGAATACTGAAGAAATTCAATAAACGACGGATCTATATATGTAAAAGAAAAAATACAGCTCTGGATGGTTCAACAAGAAATGTCCGCCTGTATCACACACTGTGCACAAAACAAATTATTGTATTACTGGTTATTACCAAGAATTTTGCATGCACTGTTGAAATTCAGTCTTTAACACGATGTACTTAAATTAGTGGTTTGTAGCACTTTATCAATAGGATAACTGGATTTGAAGATGAAAACAAGCTATTAATAGAGCTGTGCGCCGGAGCTCCAGCATATTTTGCCGGAGCCGGAGTTGAAAAACTCCGGCACACAAAATTATGAAAAATTATTTCGTATTTCAACAAACATTTGGCATTAACTGGGAAAATTAAGTTGTTGTTTACTAAGATATTACTATTTATATGTTGTTTTACTATATATTACTATGTTGTTTACTATTAATAGTGCTGTAAAAAGGTTTTTAAAAAATATAAATTCTGAAATTACACTGAAGTACTTTCGCCTGCTTCCACTTTTAAATATGGAATTTCCTTAACAATTTCTTGCCGGAGCCGGAGCTAAAATAACTGGAGTTTGCACAGCTCTAAAACAAGCTAATATAAAACACTGTATAATCAGTAATTGCACACTTACCCTTGGCGAAAAGAAGCGTGTTTTCTCAAACAAGCGGAATCCTAAAGCTATACTAAATGTGGCAAACATTATTATGGTGTAAAGCAGAGCAGTGTTTGGTCTTTCTGTTTTCACGTTTGCTGTAATGTTTCCCGAAACGTTAGCTGCGATTTCATACTCTTTACGAAGGGGATGTTCATCATAAACCTAGAAAAATGAATAAAGAATGCGAAAAAATCAACATTACTGCCTTAAAATGGTATCTGCAACGGAAGTTGAAGTGCAAAACATACAGGGCACACAAACTGCCAAATATAGAACTAACAACTTTAACGCCGCGCAAGTCGTTCCATATCTGCAAACAAGTTAGAACAAGGTTGCTGGGCACTTGCTGGTACACCATGGCATGATGTGTTTGCACTGCTTGTTTCCACTGTCGTCATACTCATAAGTCTAAAACAAATTGTTATCACCTTGTTATACAAGATTGATGACGGTAACAGACTTGCTACAAGTTGTTCCAACAAGACTAATTAACAGGCTATACGAGCTTGTTGTGATCAACATTGTTGAGCTTGATGCTTGTGATGTTACTCTGAGTGTATATCCACACCTGGCAAGCTTGAAAAATATGCCAGTGGGAATCGAACCTACGACCTTTGGTATACTAGCCCAATGCTCTGCCAACTGAGCTACGCGGTCAGGTCGGTTCGAGTATGTGATATTTCAGAATTGTGTCTCTCTTTCTCTGTGTACACCAACACAGCAAATATCATGATTACTAGATTACATTGGTATCGAAGGAACTAGACTCAGTTCCGAAATATCACATACTCGAACCGACCTGACCATGCACGTAGCTCAGTTGGCAGAGCATTGGGCTAGTATTCCAAAGGTCGTAGGTTCGATTCCCACCGTGGACAGGCATATTTTTCAAGCTTGCCAAGTGTGGATAAACACTCAGAGTAACATCATAAGCATCATATTCACCTGAGTACATTACACCAACACAGAAAAAATCATTGTTGAACTTGTTGTGATCAACATGCAGATGATATCAGACTTGTTGGAACAACTTGTTGCAAGTCTGTTGGCCTCATCGACCTTCAGTTACAAGATTATAACTTCTTCCAGATTTGTCAACTACTAGCAACAAGCAGTGCGAACACATTTTTTGACAAGCTGTGAGAATTTTAGGCGCGTACCATAAATGCACAAACTAAAAATTCAAACACGAGCCAAACAAAAACAGAAACGTTAGCTTCAAGGAGTTTTCGTACTAATCAACTGTAGCTTGTTTCAAGTACCAAGCAAAACAAAACTAGCGAAGAAAGAAGTAAGCTAGTAAACACAAACTTTGTTCGGAATGAAGCTGTCCAGCTCCTACAGGTTTTGAAACTTCAAATCGCCACTGATCCAGCGATCCACAAACAGTCGAACGTAACTCCTAGAAACGGACACCTCTCTTAAGCTGAAACCTTTTAAGCGGACGTCTAAATTAAGCCGACACCTACATTAAACGGACACATTTGTGAGGTCTCCGTTTATTAGAGGAGCGCTCAGCTGTACTAACAAAGGTCAGAACAGAATTGCCGAAAAATAGAAACAAAATTCAAGAAATACTAAGCTACCGTGTATACCATGGACGGAAAATAAAGAACACAAACCTTGACTAAATTCTTAATTCCCTCGTACATAAACAACAAGGCAACAAGAACATGAAGAATTTCTTCAGTAAATCGTGTACAGTAATGGATCCAGTGAGTTTTATTAAAAGCCAGGATGAGAATAAGAAATAAGAAAATCCACATTCCGGCTAACCAGCGAACTTGCAAGAAATCCAAACCTAGATTACTTGAAACCTAAAATGATGACACAGAAATAATAAAACAAATTAATAAAAGTTTAATATCGATTCTGTGTGCGCAAATTATTGTTATCAGTAGTTTCCAGATAACTTTGTCGCTCTGTGCATTTCGCAGTCTGGCTAGGGTGTCGCCTGACAGGCAGTTGAATAAAATAAAGGTCATAATAATACACGAGTAGTTGGACGTGCCGGATCCCGTAAAATATAGACATCCGGTGTCACAGGAATTTCGCCCCCCCCCCAGGAGATTCGCCCCCTCTCAATTTAGGAATCCGGCTTGTTAAGCTCTGTGTGGGTACTCGCCAGTACCCTCCCAGGGGGCGAATACTCTAGGAATATCGCCCCACTTTAGGAAATTCGCCCCCCTATATAAATTTTATTTTTGTTGTGTAAAAACAAAACGATTGCAAGTTAATAAGAGCGTTGAAAATGTGATTTATTTATTTATTTATTACAATGCGACAAAATTACATAGACATTTTAGGCTAATTAATATATTGAATAATGCTCAATTTACAGGACGAAATGTTTCTGGGCTTTGAATGGGTATGACACGTTGTTCTACATATACTAAGACCGTCTATTTTATATTTTGAATTTGATCAATTCCATCATGTTTGTCAATACAATGATAATGTGTTTCAGTGTCTACAACATAACCATAGCCAGGAAAATATCAACACGCTGAGGTGAAGGCAACCAAGTTCAAATTTGGCAAATGTGTCACTGCACTGATGACTTCTGTTAATAATAACAATGAAACTTAACGTATAGTTCTATAAACACGATAGTAAATTTATAGCTTAGCCTTCAGGGCCGTCGCGAGCGGGGGGGTCACACCCCCAAAATGCACTTGAAATTAACTTGCAATTAACTTGAAATTGAAATTAACGAGCAAGTGTTTGTAGAAGATTCCAATATAGCAAATTTATTTAATGATTATTTCGCTGACACTGGATCGACTTTAACAAGTCAGATTGCTGAATCCAGTGTGACTTTTGAAAGATATATGAAATTTACAGCTCAAAACCAGTTTATTTTTAAATGCATCGAAGTTCAAGATGTAGTTAATGAAATTTGTAAAATAAATGTGTCAAAATCCACAGGACCAGATAATATTCCGGCCAAACTTTTAAGAGATTCAAAAGACGTAGTGGCCCCCTTTTTGGCACTTATTTTCAATACTTCTTTAAATAATTGCATTTTCCCAGACGATCTTAAAACGGCAAGGATTTCTCCAATATATAAGTCTGGAAATAAGAAAGTGCGGGGTAACTACCGGCCTATTTCTGTACTTTCAGTTATTGCAAAATTATTTGAGAAACTTATCTGCGAGCAACTCAATCTATTTCTGGAAGAAAATAAGATTTTAAGTTCATGTCAGTCTAGTTTTCGCAAAGGTCATTCCACCACATCTGCTCTTTTAGAAAATACTGATTCGTGGCTACTGAACATGGATGCTGGTAGGATAAACGGGGTGCTTTTTCTTGATTTATGCAAAGCATTCGACACAGTCGATCACGCCATCCTCATAAAAAAGTTATCTAATTACGGGATACAAGACAAGGCACTAGAATGGTTTAAATATATTTGTTTAACAGGGAACAATACTGTAAGGTAAATAGAGCAACATCGTCCCTTCGGAAGATAAATTGCGGGGTTCCACAGGGGTCAAACCTTGGCCCTCTTTTATTTTTGATATATGTCAATGATCTTCCAAACTGTTTGGAAAATTCACATGCCGCAATGTATGCTGATGACACAAATATAACTGTTGGTTCAGATGGTCTTAATAATTTGGAAAAAACCCTCAATCATGAAATGAGCAATATTCATCAATGGCTCGTCTCAAACAAATTAACATTAAACGTAGAAAAAACAGAGTATATGGTCATTGGAACTCACAAAAGATTGAGTAGATTTTCGCAAGATATCACAGTGTCCATTGATGGCAAAGTAATTAAACAAGTAAACTCAAAGAAAACTTTGGGCGTTATAATTGATGAAAACTTATGCTGGGACAAGCAAATTGAGAACATAAGTAAAAAAGTTTCAAAAGGCATTGGCATGTTACGCCGAATTAAACCATTTGTTTCAATTGGAACTCTTACCTATCTCTATCAAGCTTTGGTTCAACCACATTTTGATTACTATTCAATGGTTTGGGGTACTGTGGCAAAACCTTAAAAGGGATGTTACAGAGACTCCAAAACCGAGCGGCAAGGGTTATTTCAGGCGACTCATATGAAGTACGCTCCCTTGACATTTTGAGTAAACTGAACTGGAAAACGTTAGAAGAAAGGCGAAATGAGCAGCAATTAAAATATGTATCTAAGGCTCTTGCATGCCAATGCCCTGAAAACATTTCGAACATTTCGAACATGTTTATAATGTCCAATTCTGAACGATACGACTTAAGAAGCAACAATAGCAAGCTTGTACTAGCGAAACCAAAAACTAATTCTTTGAAAAGAACATTCAGATATGCTGCTGCTAAAGTCTGGAACCAAAGTGTCAGTTAACTTAGTAGTAACTGTATTTTGTACACTTTTTGGGAGGGCTTCACTGGTGGGAGGAGGGGTAGTCAGTTAAATAAATAGTAATTGTATCTTTTACACTTTTTGGGAGGGGTTCACTGGGGGAAGGAGGGGGCGTTGTAGTTTGTGTTCATCACGGCCTAATGAAAAGCAACCTTTCGATTTGTAAATATTTTAATACTGGTTGATTAGTCACCGTGTTTAAAGATGTTTTTAATAATAATAATAATAAAATACTATAGTCTTTGCCAGAGTAGGTAGTGTCAATCAAATGAACAAGCTTTCGTTGGTCCCTACCAACTACATGAAAATATATAAGGAAAATTTCGACGTTTCGAGCGAAGGCCCTTCGTCTGGAGTAACTGAAATCTGACATGTCTAACTCCAGATGAAGGGCCTCCGCTCGAAACGTTGAAATTCTCCTTATATACTTTCAGCTAGTTGCATCCCTACAAATGAAAGTTTGTTAAATTGAACGAGTATAGGCTTATGTTACCGATCACCTCTTTTTGGCCATTACCCCATTGAAATGTGAAGGTAGATATGACACTAACCTTCTCCTCAAGTTCTGTTTGCTGTTTTTGCAACTGCTGACATTTTGTGACAGCCGCATCTTTGGCGAAAACAGCCGCTTCAAGTTTTGTGTTCAATTCCTCAATTTCAGCCTTGTACTTTAACAGTTCTTGTTCAAATATCTAAATAATATCATATATTTAAACTAGGGTCCACCCAGAGGTTGCGCCGGGACCGGGACGCAAAGGTGCAAGCGCAGAAGCCCTGGGTTGCCCCCAACGATGTCATAAATGTAAAAGAGGAGAAGCGGTGTTTTACAATATGTTAACGGCTTAAGCAAGCGACGTTTTTGTCAACAAGGACGTCAGATTGCCGAGGGAGAACTGGATTAAAAACTGTGTTTGTATCAGTTGGTGGTAATCTTCAACACATATGACAAAACATAAGATTTTTAAAGTTTTTTTGCTTCCTTGCAAAAGCGCTATGATGCAAAACGCCGCCAAAATTTGATATCAATTTTCTGGTGAGGTCCGTGTTGACAAAAACGTCCCTTGCTTAAGGTGGCTCCCTACAGTTTTGATTGTACAGCACACAATTGCATTCCAAAAACCATTATATTTTATCATCTTGCAAAGTATGATCACGAAACTCCGAAACTCAGCCACATAACTGCTACAATATCGCAAATTACGAAAAATCTCCGTTGCCATGGTAACAAAGCGATTTTAAAAAGGGCCAATTTGCAGATTCTTTAACAATTTTTTAAAAATTTCTTCTGTAAAACTTTTTATTTTTTTGCACACAGTAATCTGAACTATAATTCCTTCAAATGATACATTTAAAAAAAAATCGTACGAGAATTTTTTCAAAAAAAAAATTTGGCTCGTACGATTTTCTTAAAACTTGCACATTTTAATACGCACTTCAAGATTGCAGAAAAGTGTGTGAAGTTTTAAAAAAATTTTACCGAAGGAAACACGTGAGACGTCACAAAAATCAGGATTTCAATTTCATCGCGCGACCAGCCGACAATCCCACGAAGTCCCGCGCGTGTATATCACGACGCAATTTTAAAAAACCCGCCACGTGTACAACGTCGACCACGCGTGTTGCGTGTAGCACTACTAATCTCGCGCGTGGACAAAATTTCCGCGACACAGACCTAAAACGGTAGGGAGCCATTTTAAGCTCACTATATATTACACTTCATCAAATTATCTTAATCAGGTATAGGATTTATATTCTCACTTAATACCACGTTAATACCACGAGTTTTGTACTTTCTGTCAAAATATTGAATTATAGTTCTCGGCCACAATACACACCAGATAGTAGCCTGCATGGCAGGCGGTCTAGGCTTGCCCGATTTTAGGGACCGCCTGCCATGCAGGCTGACCAGATAGCAATTGTATAAATTTATATATTTCAGAGTCTTGTTGTAGCTAGAAAATCTCTATATATTCATCTACAAAAACCTTCGACATTCAGTTAAAAATTTAGTAATTTATGTACTATACTACAGCATGTATACAGCCACGGTTAATAGGTCTATTAACCGTGATACAGCCAATTCAAAAAAGGTTGTACTTTGCAAACCTTAGACTCCAAGCGCGCAAAGCTTAATGGAAGCACAGGTTTTAAACTTAGTAGTTGAAAATTACAGCTATTTGTGAATGAATTGTTCTCGTAAGGAGCTATTTGTGAATGAATTGTTCTCGTAAGGAGCTATTTGTGAATGAATTGTTCTCGTAAGGAGCTATTTGTGAATGAATTGTTCTCGTAAGGAGCTATTTGTGAATGAATTGTTCTCATATTTACCATGTCTTCACATTTACCATCTCTCCATTATGTTTTGCACGCTTACAGTTTAAGGTTTAGAGTTAAGGTTTGCAAAGCCTGCCAAAGCACAACCTTTTTTAGCATATTTAGTATCAAACTTTTTCCTTAGCCTCATTAAGTAATAAATAAATAAATTATTTTTGTTTTTATAATGACCAATAACAAGACTTAAATTTTAAAATTTAATTAAATTAGTCATTATAAAAAACAAAAAGAACCTTTTTTGAATTAGCTGTATACAAATAAGTTCTATCAAATGATAATTTAATAATTTATGTACTATACTATATATCCAAATAAAGTTGGCAACCAAATCGTGCAACTTACATTATTATTCTCGCTAACATCATCACTCGTCGCATGTAAAGCCTCCATTTGCTGTAAACGTTCCTGCAGTGCGCGGTTCTCTTGCTTCTTTTCTTTCAGCTTATCTTTCGTCTTCAGTAAATCTTCTTGAATTTCACACGACTAAATAAATAAACATTACGAATAAACTTGTCACGTATAACATGTTAACTCTTCCATTCGTCTAACGAAATAATTATTAAACCCTGAAGAACAAAATTCCTGCAAACTTTCCTTGCTTTCCTATCTTAGGAAACGCTATTACAAAAACAAATTTTGCTGTCCGGGATAAGCTAAAATGCTTCATATCTTGTTTATGTTGTGATTTTAGTTTGTTTCGTGTTTTTCCAGGTTATGGAAACATAACTACGAATACACCTAAACAATATTTCCTGCTTTGTCCACATTCTGGAAACATAGCGGGAAACCTTTTCTCTGCAACAATATTTGCTACTTCGACCAGTGCTTTAGTGTCATAGTATAAACAAAATACATACAGATGAAATGTTTTCCGACAGGTCATTTCTTATCGTATCACGCTCCTCTGTCAATCTGCAAAGAAAAATCTGGTATAAATATTGATTCTTCATATTATAAAGGTTGACAGGACTAGTGAAGGCATCTCTTTATTGAGATAGGATTAAAAGGAAGCAGAATGTCCGGAAAAGTCCGGAGGTGTTTGAGCACCCAAAATACAAGAACCGCTTCCGGCTAAAAAACTTAACTTTTGCACTTTAGTGGAAATAGAAAACACATTCTAAGGGGAGGTATACGCAGGTACAAAATTAATTTAATACTATTGCAAATGCAAAAACATAATCTGCTGGTTTATAGTACTCAACAAGGACACAGAGAAGAGACATACAGAGAGGAAACACGCGGCAAATGATGTCACGCCGATATATTCAGTCTATTAACTATACAAAATTATATTAATTCACTATTCTATTAAATTTTAATAATGCATGCAGAGGAATAAAACTATACATATTATAGAAGTATTCATGTTTTTTTTATGCAAGAATTATATTTTGAAGAATTTATATCATTTGCTGCTTTGTTATTTATACACGAGCATCTGAAATTCTCAGCCAGTGCATTTCACGATTTTAATAAAGAGTAGATAGCGGAAAAAAACAACTTTTGCTAAATAAAATGTTATGTTTTTAATAAAAGGAAATCAATAAAAGTGATCGCTTATACCGTTATTCTACAATAATTTATTGAACAAAATTTCCATTTTTTAAAAAAAATCGATTTTCACCTTTCGAACGGCGTTTTCCCTATCTTTTGCTATGAAATTTCAGCGACGGCACTGGCTGGAAGATTTTGCGTGGAACGCGTGACACAAAAATTGAGGTTATAGAGTGTCAGTTTCCTCTCTGTATATCTCTCCTCTGTGACAAGGACAAGTTTTATCAAGGCTTTTAAATCAGTGGTGATTATATTAGTGTAATACTTCTAACAGCTCACTAATTAATGAGTTATTTACAAAAGTTCTCTGTCTTGCCTTCCTGGCATATTTCACTTCGTGCCAGCTTATTTTTACGATAATTTCGCGATGATCTATTTTAGTATTTCATAAATTACAGTATTACCATGGCGTTCCGAAATGGTCTCGCGAGAGAACCCGAGGCGCAAACACGCAGATCTTGAACCCCAGAGATTTGGCTTCAAGAAAAAGATAGGCAGTTTATCTATTTAATTTCTCTGGCTCGCAATATTATTTTAAATTCCAGAAGTTGTTCTGTACGTGTTCGCAACACCATCGTAATACTGTAAAAAAGTTATCAAAATGGCGATGTATAAAAAAAAAATCAAAACAAAAAAGTAAATGGAAGTTATTTCTGGCGTGCTCCCCCTTGGGCAGACTTTTGTATCCGTCTTCAAAACATCAAACACAAAGGATTCGTAAACTGATCAGTGTGGTTGTAGCAAAAAGTGATTCAAGTTCAACTCTATATATTCAGTGGTTAAGAAGTTTCCCCATGCATCCTCTGTCTTTCAGTTTTACCTTTTTACTTCCGACTCAAGGTCTGCAATTTTTGCTTCTGAATTATTCTAGAAGAAAGAGTTTTTAAAGTTTTACCTTTTTGAAAAACAGAGTGCATCTATAGATAATCTAACAAAGTTTTACGGGAATAAAGTTTTAGGAGGACAATTTTTTTATGCGGCGTAATTTGCGGTGAAAGCATTAAAAACTTGAAATCTTTTTGCGTATATACCTCAAAATAAATTTGTTTTCGCTTTACTTAAAGTTTATAAGTCATCTTGTTTTTAAATAGATCAGTCGTTGAGGAACAATCATAAAATAACAGTAAAAAAATTGTGAATTAAAATGATTATCAACGATGTTTCAAAATGGACGCCATGTTTACGGCAATACAAGCAAAATTTACTGAACTTCAGACAAAATTTTCTCTTCGGCGGACCATCTAAAACCTCTATACAACTTTCGAGCAAACAACTTCGTTTCCCGATAGCGAAACGTATTAGGGACCGGTCATTAAATATGGTAAGGGGGTGGAGGAGAAAGTAGGGGGTCCTTGAATTATTTTTCTCGAGATGGTGGGGGTTTGGAAAATTAAATTGCCAGCCATGGTAAAGAGGGGGTGTCTTCGGATTTTTCCCAACAAAAGGATTGTTTCTCGTTATATACTATGAACAGCCAAACGAGATGCATAAAATACCCTTTAAACTGGAATACTGGGTTGAGTACGTATATAGTGTTCGTATCGGTTTGTATCATATTGAGTACGTATATAGTGTTCAGTGGATGTAGGCGAGACAAGCATAGGCCATAGAATAACCTACCTAAATAGATTCTAAAATATTTATTTAACTAGTTTCATTAAATTTTATATCTCTTTTACACCCATTTTCAAAATTACGCGACCTCCCTGAAAAATACTCTTACTTCAAATGTCAGTTTTATGTCACAAAAACTGCTAAAAATAGCAAACGTAAACAAACTGTCAAAAGACATTTTAAACCGTATTTAATACCAAAACTGAACAAAAATGAGTTAGATAACTTAGATATACAAACTAAAGCACAATACAAACCATCACTACAGAAATATGTGTCGTGAAAAACTTTTAAAATTTGAAAAATAACAATTTATCCTGGAATTTAGCTGTCAGTATAAAACACGCGCGCTAGACTATAACGGTCATGTTATGATTTTGTTTGTGCTTAAATTTTGCAATAATTCTCACTAAAATATCTTGAAAGTTATTGTAAGCCTGTTTATATAAAGCATACAAAGCATATACATCGACAAGGAACCGCAAAACTCAAAGTTTAAACTTTGTGACCGAATGACATAAAACTGACTTATCAACTCTAGCATTTTCGTCCTTGGTCGCGTAATTTTGAAAACGGGTGTAATACTCTTCATTGATCACTTGCTCTCCTAAGCTTTGTCCTAATCGGGCCAGCCATCAATGCAAAACTATATTTCCAAGCGGTACAAGAGGGGGTGGGCTTTAAAAAGTATAAAATGCATAACGGGGGTCCTTGAAAAGGCATATAAATTTTGAGGGGAGCCCCAAAATTTTTTTCAAAATTTCTAGTTTCTCCTCCATCCCCCCCTGCCATATTTAATAACCGGTCCCTTATAGGTATTAGAAAATTAATTTAACAAGTAGTATATTAAACGCGTCCTTTTTGAGGGCGTGTTACGTAACATACAAAAAGTTTGAACTTACCGCTGAATTAAGAGAATTCCTATATTCCCCGACTGAACTGATCACACTGGAAAAAAGCGGAATATATTTTGTTGAATACGAGGTTGAATAAGTTAGGTTAGAGGGAAAGAATTGGAAACAAGAACTTCAAAGATTTCTATTAGACTACCGCTCAACACCGCATGCCAACTACAAAGATACCTCCAAATGAATTATGTTTAACCGAAAGGTGCAAGGAAGTCTACCCGAGCTGTCAACACAAGAGGTCGTAAAGAAGCACCAAAGGGCCAAGGAAAACATTGACAAGAAAGATCAGTAATAAGCAGTACTACGATGCCAAGAAAAACACCAAGACATCCAAGAGGAAGGGGACATCGTTATTTGTAAACAGAAAACAAACAAGTTATCTCCAAGATTCAATCCCGAGCGATTTTACGATCGCGGCTACGGCAAGAAATGACAGACGCACCATCACGCGTCATGTGTCTCATTTCACTATACCATAGGAAGCAATTGTGTGTTGGGGGCTGATTAGCCAGGGGCGATCATTAGGTCATTATTTCGCTCTCAAATTTTACAGAATTATCCCTAGTTTACAAATTATTGAAGCAGTGAAGCCCCCCGCCCCCGGTTGCTGCGGTCCTGCATTTGAAAGTAGTTAAACCCGTCGACGAACAAAGCAGTGCATGATGAAGAGAAGCTAACTACAGTGGAACTTGTACAGGACAACGGGGTCGGAGATGATAAGCTGCTGGACTTTATAAAAGAAGTCAGCCAACATCAAGAAGATCAACGACCTGAAAATAGATTTGGTCTCTTTTTCATCAGGACTTATTTCATAGAAGTTTAGTATAATATGAACAATAACGGACAATTCATAGTTATTCCTTTGAATCTTATCAAAGAAAAAAAAGGCGAGAGCAATGTGGTGACACAGTTTCTCACGGGAAAATGACACAGTTAATTAAGGCATGCTCTGGATACTCACTCTCTCACAACTGTTTAATTAACAGCCATTTTTAACAGTCAGGGTTCGTAGTCGCCAAGACCAAAAATATTCAAAGACTTTCAAAGATATTTCAGCCTATTTTCAGAAACTTTTCAAAGACCTTTGAGAGCAATGAGCTGTCGAAAAATTGCGAGTGTACAATAAGCACAATTTTTGCCTAGTAATTAGCTAGGAAATTGTATAATCAAATACTCACTAAAGAATTAATTTCAAAGACTTTCTTCGCTTTTTCACACAATTCCAAGACTTTTCAAAGACCTTAAAGACCTGCATTCAAATTTAAAGACTTTCAAGGATTTCAAAGACGCTAGGAACCCTAAACTTAAGGAATTATTCAAGAAATTATTCCTTCAACCGATCATACTGCACTGTACTGTACTTTGCGAAAATTAACACAGACTGTTTATATTTCGCTCACATCACTTTCCGTATGCAGGTTCTATAACAAGGAGAAAAATAGCAGCGGCGTATGCATGCTCGACTATTATTTCAATCCACAAAAGGCAACAATTAACCTTTTCAACACGAATCGGATGTAATTCTGTGTAAGATTTTAAGCTCATCTCTAGCACTCACCTCTCATCAGCAAATGTTTCTTCTTCTCGTTCATGAAGATCGTCAAAGAATCGCTGATGGCTATCCACATTAAAGTCGGCACTGCTGACCTCTTCACCAAAACCTTTACTTGGGCTACCCGCAAATGATCGTTCCAATCTTCTTGATGGTTTACCAAACTCGCCGTCAAATGGCATATCTAACTGCAGGAGTGAATTGCGGTGAGCGCCCATTGGACAGACCGTCCAACGACGTTGTTTGCGCTGTTGAAGTGAAAATAAACAACGTATTACTGACAGGGTCTACCGAATATTGTTTTGCCTGATATATAGTATGCATTATGGAGGACATGGCAAATTTTCGATGGCAATTTTTGTATTAGTCAGAAAATGGATACTCGTTTTGATAATTAATTGTTAAATACAGGAGTATCATAATAGATCAAACAAATAAAGGACTTATATATATACATGTACTATATTTTTTATTTCAAGATCGGTTGTATATAATATTTTCCATGATTTGGTGACGATAAGATCTGTAAACGTGATATCGTTTGTCTTGAATGAATGATAGATTGGGTAAGACAGGTGCATGTGAATTACAGAAATTTGTATTCATTACTTGTTTAGACTCGGACTCTTTTGGTTGTGCTGTACAAAATATATTCGCTAAATCTCGTAACTTTGCCTTCGTTTCGTCCTACAAAACAAACAAAAAGAACATTTGTAAGAAGTTTGCAAAAACCAACGTACTGTATTCCTGTTACTATAAATCATATGCTTATAATATATATATAAACGCGTGACTGCATGTCAAATATCATGCATGCAAAATATTTCAGGACTTTCCAGTCCTGGAATATTTTTTTCCAATTCAAGGACTTTCCAGGATTTTCAAGGCCCGTGGACACCCTGTCTAATTTTCATCATTTCTTATTAAAATACTCTCCAACCTGCAACGTTGCGCAGTCAGTTTCGGTGCTATGTTCTTGATCCTGTTTTACAACACAAGAATGTGATTTTCACGCTGTTACCAAGGGGATATGTAAATTTTGTCTGCCTTTGTTAAAGCGATGCGAAAACAAGCTTTCAACCGTACTCCGCACCCGTTGTTCGTTGTCGGCATCTTAAAGCCCCCCGTGACATAACAAGGCCGACAATTAGTCCCGTTATGCATAATCAAAATTATTATCATTATTCATTTCTTTATAAATAATTGTTTTCACAGTCAATGGACACGAAAATATTTCCATAACGGGAATAAATCGTCGGGCCGGCTACGCTAAGTTGCCATAAGGTTGCTAGCTATTACATGAAATACAAATTTCACAGGGCAAGGCAAAGATAAATGGTCCAACTCACTGCCACTTTCCTCTGTTCCTCAAGTTCTTTTTGAATCTAAATAGATGAAAATACGTCCTTCAGAAATAGTAATATTTCATTTTGGGCACTCACTCTGGAATACCGTATTCCCCTCTATTCAATCCAAGGCTCTTTTTAGCCCCCTTCTTATCGTAGCCCAGTACAGAAGCACTAATTAGCGAGCTTAAAATTGCCGAGGGGGACTGGAATAAAAATGGTCTCAATTTGTGGTACTCTTCAACACATATGACGAAACATAAGATTTTTATAGTTGTTTGCATCCTTACATGAGCGCTATGATGCAAAATGCCTCCAATATTATTGTGAAAACACACTTCAAATCAGATTTGATTGACAGGCGTATCGATTTCGACCAATGGGAATTTTGCTTGGAGTGAGAAACGCGTATTTGTTTCATAATGTGTTGTCAGAGTCGCTCCTTTCCTTTCGCATGTCCGGAAATCTAGACCCGTGGAAAGGAGGGACCGCACGCAGACTAGTTCGACTGTATTTCATATCTCATTTTAGCCACTCAACCCGAAATACGTAAGTGCAGGGTGTTTTTTTTCCTACAATTAACTCACCATATCTTTTTCCATTTGCAGTTCCATTTCGCGTTTTAGTACTTCCTCCCTACTGTGCGACTATGGAAAAGAAAGATTGTCAATATAAGTTGACATTATTCAAACGACACTATTTCCAGTGCACGATTAGTTATGATAAATATGCATGTCAATCATGAATTGATGATCATAGATAGTTATAAAACTCATTAATAATTCATGAGGAAAATACAAAAGAAACGAATGTTTAATCAATGTTTGTAAATCGGATAAAGATTTGTCCTGATTTACATAAACTTCACCTTTGATTTTCTCGGCTTAGACAAAGTTTATTTTTAAAATTGCTTCACCAATGAACTCATAAGATGGGTCATTTTATAAGCACGATAAAACATGAGCAGCCGATCTTTATCTGATATACAAACTCTCGTCTTCGGCTCGAGTTTCTCTATCAGATAAAGATCGGCTGCTCATGTTTTATCTAGTACATATTAGAAAACTTTATTTAAACACGATGACCCCGACAACTGAAGCTGATTTGCACGAGGGGGGCGATGATCTATGTCATTGCTCATATTCATAATAATCCGAGAAGCTCTGTTTTGTAGTTTTTGGAGTCTTTTCGACTGCATTTCTCCAAACACATACTTCATAATCAAAATATGGTCGAACAATAGCATTATATACAGAGAATCTTCAACCCAAAAAATTTCTTCGGATCTATAAAAATTCCTGCGAGCGGTGTGTTTGTGTGCTCAAACATTTTCCCACCAATTTTACCAACCTTTTCAAGTTTCCGTTTGAGTTCGTTTATCTCCCTTCGACAGCGTTTTAACATTGTGCCATCATCAAGGACCTGTAAAAATAACACTCAAGTTCATATTGGAAATAAATTTCCAAGATAGGGAATTGTCCATGAGTGTTGCTTAGGCCATTTTCCAGCAGGTTTAGGAAGTGAAGATAGGAATCAGATTTTTTAAGAAGCACTTAGACGCGACCCCACAAAGAGACGATACTAACCCGTATTCAGGTTACGTCCGCCCGAACATTTCTGGGCTTAACCTGTAACCCGATTAGATTTAGTTAAAGATGCGAAAACTAACCTCATTGACTTCTGGCCTGTTCTTGATTCTTTTCGCTCGACTTGCAAACTTAAAATAGAAAACCCAATTATTTTGCACCAAAATGGAAAATACCCAAACCAGATTACATATGGTAATATTCAACTGTTCAAATACAATTGGGTAACCAAACTTTTTTTCGAGTTAAATATCCGCAAGGTTGTGAAGTCATCGCTGCCATAGCAAGGGCGGTTAGTAGTGTTTTTAAAATTCCGAACTCCTTAGTTATTGTGTTATACCAGTCAGACACTCTTTGTTTTAAAACAAATAATAATTCTCCAGAAATTCATATCCAAATCAAAAATCTTTAATTTTTAAAAAAAGTGTAGCGAGCCACCTTAAAGCAATTTGTGTTTAAAATGCATTTAATGTTCTCTGAATGTTCGTTCCATAAGACATATATACGCTTGAGTTTCACACGAGTCCATAGCGAGAAGCCATGCACCAACTCAGAGGTAAAAGGAGTTTTCTTTGATGAGCGAGCAGTTCATTACTTCAAAGGGCATGTGACTTGAAAATTGACGGTGTTGTTTTTTAGTCTAATTTGAAAGATCATTGAAAACTGTAGAGAAACTTCTTTGATAGATTTTTGTTTTCTTGCTTCGTCTTGAAGATATTTTGTATGATATGCAAAGTTATGTACTAACTTCCTACGTCACATAACGATGTAGCCCTAAAAGCAGTATATCTTTAATACGACTAAACACAATCAGTAAAAACCTACATGGATGTTGTTGTGGACAAATCACGTGGTCATCAGTCATTTTGAGCGAATTTATTTGACAGTGACAAAATTGTATAACATTTTAAAGTAAGTCATTAATATGCATGCGTGATGTGTGACGTAGAAAATTGGTCTTTGCATATCATAATCATACAAAATGAGATATCTCCAAATCGAAGCAAGAAAACAAAAATCTGTCAAAGAAGTTACTCTACAGTTTTCAATGATCTTTCAAATTAGACTAAATAACAACACCGACAATTTTCGAGTCATATGCCCTTTAACATGCATATATTTGATTCGAGTCTCTGAGATCTCGCGATCTATCCCGACGCAGAACGCATCAAATGTATGCGCAGTCGAGACTCTTAAAAAGTATAAATTACGTAAGAAATTTGCACTCGGTACAATATGTAAAATTCAAACCTGAAGTGTACTCAGCGTTTCATCAGTAGAAGCCGGCGTAACGGCGCAAATGATAGAAGTCTTCGCATTTCCGCCCAGAGAATTTTGTAAGATACGAGTAAGCTTCGAATCGCGGAAAGGCACAAAGGTGCTAGGAACATAGAACATATTACTACATGTTAGTTATAAACAATAGAAAAATAAAGTAAATTATTATATTGAAGAACGAGCTTTAGTAAAAACATGGACAATAAAAACACGTTTAAACACAATGAAAACTTATTATTAACAACTAAAAAAATGACAACGATAAAAAAACAATGAAAACTTATTATTAACAACTAAAAAAATGAGAACACGTGATCTGAAGTTACATGATTACAGGGGTGGATCCAGCAAGGTTTTTCTAGGGGAGTGCTGGGTGAGCAGCCGAGTGTTTCTTTATAATTCTTTAGGGGGTGGTGGGAGAGCTTCAAATGAATTGGCTTCCTGACGACTTGGGCGCCGAAGGCGCATGCTCCCTAGGGGGTCCAAGGGTATGCCCCCCGGAACATTTTGAAAATTAGAACCCTAGAAATGTCATTTCCTGCAATATGGGCATTGAATTACGAACTTCAGTTTGACTTCAAAAAAGAAATCGTGCCATATTTCTGAATTTGATTTTTTTGCACTCCCCTTACACCCCTGTTGACCCAGTCTAACAGGGGCACGCCCCCCATAAATCCACCCCTGCATGATTAAATATTAATTTATATCAATTTCAATGGTATTGCTCGTTTTGGACTACGCATGCACGTTTTTTGCCAGTCGATGTACGTACTATGGACATGCTTTTTCAATGGAAATGGTCAAAAATATCGACTGAAAGCCAGTCTGAATTTAGCTACAGTAGTTTCCTATCATTTTTTAACTATCCATGGTAAAAAAACGCACTCAATAAAATCAAAATAAAAAAAAGTAAATATATATTGTCAAGTGAATCATACTTCTCTCCTTCGCTGAGTTTATTGATGACATTTCCTAAGGCGAACAAACTTTTGTTGATGAAACCCCCTTCCCGCAAACGGATACCTTCTGCTCCGGTCACCGAGGCTCTTTCAGAGCCAGCCAAATCAACAAGGTTCTAGAAAATACACAAATCGAGGGTTTCAACAAAATGTCCTGCGTTTTCTAAAATGTCAAACAATAACAGAATATACCCCAAAACTAATTAGTTCCACCCGAGAATTCACAAGACAAAGAAAAATTCCGCTACGCGCGAAAAATTCGGCCTAGTGGAAAACAGCCTTGACGCCTAACCCACGCCGAGGCTCCGCTTACACCCCAATAGAAATTTTCTCACACCTCCTTTAAAAAAAAAAATATGAAAATCCGCCCTTGCTATATCGATGTTTTTGAAAAAGCAATATCGAATATAGCCGATAATTATCGATATGTTACAAAATGTTACAAAATGTTACAGACATCGAGCTTTTCCGCCATTGCGGAAGAAATTGATCCGGCCAGCAGGATTACTGTACCATATACTATAACACTAAACGGTATACAAAGTTTCTTACCAGATGAGAGACCTTGACAGCTCCATCGAACTCGCCGTTTTCAACACTATTACGCGAGTGCATCTCTCTGCTTTCTGCAACCTGAACGATAGATGGAAGATCTCAGCAAAAAATAATGAAACCTGGATTTTATGATATTTGTCGGTAATCACGCGGACATGATTAACTATTCTACTTCCTTACTAATATTTGTTGAAATACGGCTTTGAGAACGGCGGGGTTTCGGACCAATTTTATTCAATACAACAACAGTAATATTATGTGTGTGATGTTACTCTGAGTGTGTATCAGAATAACATCACACACATCATATTCAGATATGTTATACATCACACACTCGGAGTAACATCACACACATCATCTTCAGATATGATATACATCACACACTCAGAGTAACATCACACACATCATATTCACCTGAGTACAATAACACCAACACAAAAAAATTATATATTACATATCGAATTAACATCTTAATATGTAAAATAGAGTGTACGGTACCCGAAACACAGAATAGAAACCGAACAGAAGTCCTACATCTTGGATTCGCCTTTGATTTTGGCGTAACCGTTGCAATGCCAGTGCGCTTATGAGGGGTATTCAACCGGTAAATGGCGGACGTTCCTGGGGGGTGAATAGAGAGGTAAAGTAAAGACGACGCGACGTCAAAGACGACGTGAAGATGGCGTGATATGCTCATCTATGGATGTCCCCACGCCATTTTCACGTCGTCTTTGCTAAACCTCTCCAATGCCTCTCGTAGTAAGCGCAGTTAGCGCACTGGTTAGGAACATAGCGAGTGCGTCTTTCATTTTTTTAGAACTGAGGAGTGGTGTCACAATACAATACAATAAACTTTATTAGCACCATTAGAATCATACAAGTATACAACAAACTTAAACTCAACTAAATTAATAACCTAATAAATAAACAGTGCAAGTTATCTGAAATAACAATTAGTTAATCCAGTCAGATAACCTCTGGTTCATTTGAGACATTATGTGGTCGCAAATAAACGAAAAACTTGTACAAAAGACATTAAAAAACAACAAAAACTATAAAACAACGTTATTAAATCAGTTATTAAATAAATTGTTGATAATACTCTTCAGTTTTAAACATGAATCAGGAAAACATTTTCATTTCTTCATCTAAATCGTTCCATATATTTGGACCTTGAAATCGTATAGAGGATTTTCCATAATTGTTCTGAAACTTCTGATGAAGGGTGGAGAATACGATTTTTTTTAGGCTAGGCGAGTGTTATAACTATATATATATATGTTTTAATTTAACAGGTAAAAAAAGCTTTCAAATGGTAAAAAGCATAGACGGATTTTGTGGGGGTGCAGAGGGGTGCTAACCCCCCCCCCCCAATATTAGCTATAACCCCCCAAACAAAATGTCCACCCCTCCAAAAAAATTTCAACCCCCCACCCCCCCCCCAATATTCGGCATAATAAAAAATAATTAAATAGTCCACTCCAACGTGCAGAGTGTTGATGATACAAAATAAACGTAGGTCGGAGTACACTCAAACAGAAAAAGACAGTGCAACACTCTGAAACTAATTGCTCCTCGCTTGGATTCACTAGTTTATTGGAGCAATTGTAAAATTGAAACTCTATCATCTCCTCTGTATAGGGTTTGCAGTGCCTTGTAATGCAAATAGCTTGCTTGCAAGGAACGTTTGGAATTTTTACGAACATTATTTTTAGTTTTTAATTCTTTTAGGAAATAGACTTGCCTAGATTTAATCTTTACGCCCCAAATATTATTTACATCGGAGTTGCATAATAAATTGTACTCGGATTCAAACGACACAATGTCAATGACTTTATAAAAGTAAACGCATATTGTGTATTCGCCTATTGGGTTTACACTTTTACAGGTTCATTTAACTTTAACTCTCTCAAGTCTCAACAGACAATCGGACATGCCAAATCCATTGATATGACAACTTCAAAAAACTTTTTTTCGAAGCTAGAAATCATGCATGATTTTTTTCAAATTTTTCCAGGGATACTTTGTTTTCTGCTCTCTAAACTCCCCCTCGCGGCTCTAGCACTCCACCCCTAGAATATAGACCTTACTGGGGTTTGGTGACACTTTGTGTTGCTTCAGTCACCTGCTCACGGCTCACCCCCTAAAATTTCTGGCACCACCCCAGTAAAAAATATGAAAATCCGTCTATGGTAAAAAGGCTTATTATTGTAGAAATCATACATAAATAATGAGTTGTAGAGAAATATTACGCCATGTTAGTAGTTTTAATAATCCATTTCTTTCAAATAAAGATTCAGTGTGTTCATCAAAACTTGAGAATGTCACTAAACGCACAGCTTTCTTTTTGTAATAAGTTCAAAGAGGACAAAATCGTCATGTATGTATTACGCCAAATAATTTTCCCATATGTAAGAAAAAGAAGCAAATTATTCCAATATACTTCTTTTAATCTCTTTCGAAATAAAGATTTGTGATTTCCAACTTAAGTGAGAATCGATGTGGATTAAGGTTCCCTAATTTTCTGTCAACGTGAAATCGACCTACGTTCATGAAGTGAACCGCTGACATGCAATGGATCACGAACTCAAGTCAAAATGGCCGCAAGGTAAGGAGCGAACTGACTATGCAATAGGATTTTTTATCTTGTTTGTTTATATGCTATTGATATAGTGTTCTTTGAATTTTGAAACTTAGCAATCACTCAAATGTTTCTGGTATATTACACAGCTAAAAACGATCATGCAGGTTGTTGCAATATTGATGAAAACAGGATTGAACAATGTTATGCGGCCCACATTGTTCACAGTTGTCAACAAGTTGAACAATATTGTTACACCCGATTCAGGCTCAACAATATTTGTTCAATATTGTTAACAAGGGTGAAAAATGTTGGCCGCACAACATTGTTCAACCTGTTAAACAGCAGGCTCATAATTCTTACGCGTGTACCTGCGTATTGGTTGAACCAGGGCGCTATAAAACACGGGCGGTGAAACGGAGATAGCGCCCCTGATCTTTGTGTGATGCGCGTACCCCCCGTATACATTAGTTTATAATGTCAATAAAAATGGAATTGGAATGTTTATGCAAAAAAGAGCTGAAAAAACTAAAATAAAAAATGTTTTCTGCATTCCTAAACAACTTGATGGTTTGAAGACATTGTTGGATTCATTTTCTGTATATCTGATGAAGGAAAAACGGCTTTAAAGATTCATCATGAGCGAAATGAAAATTTGAAAAGGAATCGAGCTGATCGAATATTCCAAATACGAAAATTTTGGTATGAAATGGGATATTTTATTTCATAATGCGAAGGTAGGATAAACATTTTCACAGTAAGAATATTCTGACATTGCTTGGCTACTATTTTTCAATAATCGTATAGCCCAAAATTGACCATGCATGCATGCATGCATGCACTTAAAACAGCTATAATTTGAAAAAAAAACCAACTACAATTTGCTCGACAATTTGAAAACTTAAATATATATATATATAACCGTTTTTGTGTTAATCAGCCGGCCTGCTTGGAATCCATTGAAAGTTCATTGTAAAGTGTTTTTTACTAATTGATTTGATTTCTATTATTGGTATAACTGCCGCCGGCACTCCAAAAATATTCAGCGTGAATCTATTTTCGTGCGACTGCAGTCGTTGACATTGCAGTGACAGTGTTACGGAAAACTATAAAGGCTGCAAAATATCTCCATTTTATGAAAAAAGCCCCGTTCAATTTTACGTGAGACATAAAGCCAAGTTAAATGTCTATAGTTTGGTGTGATCAAATTTATCTCAACCTATCTCAACGAGGAGAAAACACTATTTTAAATACGTCCGCGCTTTGACAAAAAAGAAAAAATGTCGTCAAAATCGAGTTCAAAATGCATGTCTTTTCCTCAACAATCGCTTTGTTCATTTTGCATGTGAAATAGATACCAATTTTAACTATATAAGCTGATACTAGATCCTTCACTAAACGTTTATAGTATGTATTTGAGGCAGGAAGTGATTTCGTTTAATTGATAATTGAAAATTTGTGTTGTTTAAATATCGTATTATCTGCATAAATAAGTATTGTAGTCGCAAATCTATATTATCGTGTGGAGTATACGGAAAACTATAAAGGCTGCAAGATATCTCCGTTTTATGAAAAAAGCACAAAAAAGTACCGTTCAATTTTACTTGAGACATACAGTGTAAAGCCAAGTTAAATGTCTATAGTTCGGTGTGTTCAAATTTATCTCAACCTATCTCAACGAGGAGAAAACAGTATTTTAAAACACGTCCGCGCTTTGGCAAAAAAGAAAAAATGTCGTCAAAATCGAGTTCAAAATGCATGTCTTTTCCTCAACAATCGCTTTGTTCATTTTGCATGTGAAATAGATACCAATTTTAACTATATAAGCTGATACTAGATCCTTCACTATAGACGTTTATAGTATGTATTTGAGGCAGGAAGTGATTTCGTTTAATTAATAATTGAAAATTTGTGTTGTTTAAATATCGTCTTATCTGCATCAAATAAGTATATAAGTAGTCGCGGAATTGTCGTGTGGAGTATACGGAAAACTATAAAGGCTGCAAGATATCTCCGTTTTATGAAAAAAAGCACAAAAAAGCACTGTTCAATTTTACTTGAGACATAAAGCCAAGTTAAATGTCTATAGTTTGATGTGTTCAAATTTATCTCAACCTATCTCAACGAGGAGAATCTCAACCTATCTCAACGAGTATTTTAAACACGTCCGCGCTTTAAATTTTGCAAATATTTTCATCGCTCGAGTAAAATTTTTGCCCGGATATTTTCTTTCAACGAGTGTTCAGTAACAAACAACACAAGCTATTACATGTGATATAACTTAGGGACGGACCATTAGAAAAGTGATGGGGAGGGTGGGGAAAAAAACAGAAAAAAAATCCATGCAAACAAAAAAGGTTTGAAAAAAAATACATGCAAACAGACTTGTTTAAAAAAAAAATTACAAACAGAACAACAATAGAACTTTAATTTTAAATGTACATCAGACAAAATTGAACTAAATCTTTGGAATATTTCAGAATATAAATATATCAAAATATATAATATATTAATATGCAATTTCTTTCAATATTAACAGTAACTCTTATGTAGTTTTATTATATACTATCAAAATATTTTCTATTGTATTTAATAATTAATTCTCATTCACTCTGCCACTGTCCTCAGTGGCGTAACTACTATGGGTTCGGACTGGGAGAATCCGGGGGCCACCAACTCCAATGGGCCCGCAAATGGGGGGCCCCAGGCTCAGGCTATAGAGCAAAAACATTGGCCAAGGGCCTCTGATATGTTACAATGGCGTTTTCTGACCATCAGAATTCTGTAAAATCTCTCCCCAAAGTCCGGGAAATGGTATTTCAGAGAATTTAGATTAAAAAATTTTCCGGGTGAGCATGCTCTGGACCCCTAGAAAACTTGTCCATATATGGTGCTAAAAGATATAATTTTGCAGTGTGTATTAAAGGGATATTTTTTGTCAAGAGAACAGTTTCGTTAACATTTGTATAGTTGTATTGGAAAAAAAATTGCATGCGAGAAGACATATTTAAAAAAAACATGCATACACAGCTGACAACCTGGAAAAAAAATGCAAACAAAAAAAATTTACCCCCCCCCCCCCATCACTTTTCTAATGGTCCGTCCCTTATTAAATAATATTTCAAATTTTAATTAACGAAACAGAATTATTTAGCATTTAAATCCTTTGTTTTCTCGTTTGCTTGTTTACATTTTTTTGTTGCCATCTTGTACGCGATTTTCTGATTTTTTTAGAGAAAGCGCGCTCGCGCCAATCCTAATGTGCATCACACGTAGCACGGTCATTTATTAGCGCGTTTCCCCGCCTGTGTTTTATAGCGCCCTGGTTGAACCCAGTGAACTCTAATAATAACTGGAAGGCTAACTCCTATGATGAAAGTCTATGATTCGTTGAAGCCGGCGCGCGGGAAAATCAGCTTTCAAAAGGATTAAGGAGAGTTTCGAGTGAAAAAAAATTCTGTCAAAAGTTTGTTTTCGAGCAAAAATTTGCAAGAAAAACACTTTTCCCATGGGAATACAACAATGACTTGGGATTTAAACCAAGTTTCCGATAGTTCCGACTGTTTTACATCTCTCTGCAGCAAAAAGTAAGGAATTTTGCTTTTGTATTTTGAAAAAATGACGAAAGTTTAGTTTAAACATATTTATTTGGCGCAACTGCCCCAGGAGCACACGTTGGCTCATCTAGGGGGCTCTTGCACAAAAATAAAGATTTACATATCAAAAAGTTCAAGCATGCAACACACAAATATAACACAATCACACAACATCAATAATTATAGCGTTTTGTATATATCACAATCAGATCATCGCTTTGAAACACATTAATTACCTACTGCAACAAGCCCTCAGAAACACAAACATCGAGAATTTTCTAGTACCTCAGACAGCTTGTTACAGTTAAACAGGTACTGACAATATTTTTTTACCTTATTTACGAGCTGAGAAACGAGATGTATCAATAATAAATCTTTGTACAGCAAAAAACAATCTATGGTTTACATTAAAAGCAACGTTATTGCATCCAGAAAGCAAAAAAGAAAGTTTCCCAGTTCTATTAGAATTGAACCAATAATTCCCAAGACATTCTGCAGCCGTAGTAAGTAAAATCGAACGGTAAGTATCCCAAAGCGGGCAATGCAACAAATAATGTTCAGTAGTTTCACGATGGTATCCGCACGCACATGTAGGAGACGGTATGCAATTATGACGGAAAAGGTCATCATTTAAAGTACTATTACCTAACCGAAGTCTCGTGTGTAAAACTGAAGGATACCTAACACCAACTTCGAAAATCTTCGGGCATTTTTTTTTACAAAATAGACTCTTAATTGAAGTTTTAAAATTAGTAACAGACGGCAAATTTCTAATTGAATCAGATAAGGAATTCCAAGCAGATATAGCCGATGGAAAGAACGACTGTTGAAATCTAGATGAAGAACATAGAAAATTGCATATATCATCACTGTTGCGGAGTGGATAATTGGATATTTGAGATACCGGCTTTGGTAAAACAAAATAAAGATAGTCAGGAACCATTCTGTTCTTAATTTTGTATAAAACTGACAATTTGTGAATATATCGTCTGGTTTCTAATTTATCCCAAGAGAGTTCTTCTAGCAGAGCTACACGGTTAGTGCCTTTTATAGCACCAGTAACGAGGCGAGCTGCATCAAATTGAATTCTTTCGAGAGCATTACTGCACTCTACCCCACAACCATCCCATATAAAATCACCATATTCCATTAAAGGTCTAACTAAAGAAATATACATGCTATTTAATGTAGTTCTGTTCAGACGAAATCTCAAACCTTTTAACATATTGAATCTTTTGGCCGCTCTTTCGCTAATGACACATATGTGATTTTGCCAGGAGAGATCACTTGAAAGATTAATGCCTAAATGACAATGCAAATTAACGTCTGGTATAGTCGCTTGATTTAACAAAAGTCTAGGGTGATCAGGCTTGTTATTCTTAACAGAAAAAATCATCGAACGTGTTTTACTGGGATTCATGGTTACCATCCATTTATCGGCCCAACTAGATATAGATGCAAGATCAGTATTAAGCTTAACAGCAGAAGTTGTTGGAGAATCTACCACATCTAAAATCATAGTGTCGTCAGCAAATAAAAAAGCCTCAGATTGTATGTCATTAGTAATATCATTGATGTAAATCAGAAACAGGAGTGGCCCAAGAACACTGCCTTGGGGTACTCCAGCATTGACTTTTTCCCAGGTCGAATTGGTCCCCTCAACAACTACTCGTTGAAAACGATTAGAGAGATAGCTCTCCAGCCATTTTAGTAATGTACCTTTGATTCCAATAAATTTCAATTTGCTTATCAACCCCTCGTGCCAAACTTTGTCAAATGCCTTACTAATATCCAGAAACACAGCTCTTACTTCTTTTCCTTCTTCTAAGCTGGAATATATTTGATGAACAACATATGTTAGTTGCAAAACAGTTGAATGGCCAGGACGAAAGCCGGACTGTAAATTATGTAAAAATCCAATTTCGATCAAGTAATTATAAAGGCGAACAAAAACAATTTTTTCGCAAATTTTAGACAAACTTGGTAGTAGGGACACAGGACGGTAATTAGATTTTATGTTATGCTCATCCTTCTTAAAAATGGGTAAGACATTTGCAAATTTCCATTGTTTGGGATATTGGCCTAGAGAGAGGGATGTGTTAATTAATCTAGTGAAACTGTAATAGATACCATAAGCACAAAGTTTAATCATACGATTCCCAATGCCGTCGTGACCACATGCTTTAGAAATATCAACACTTAAGAGCAATTTTAACACTTCATCAGGATTAGCAGCAATACTAGACAGCGATGAGTTCGGCGAAAATTGACCTGCAAAATGCGGTGGAGGGCATTGTGGATCCAGTGTAGCCTGGGAAACAAAATAATCATTGAAAAGTTTCGCCTTTTCCTTTGGATCATAAACATAAATATAATTTTCTTTCAAGGGTGGAATTGTAGAACACACTTTTGTGCCGTATATGGATTTAACCACTCCCCACCATTTCTTTGCGCTTATTTTGGGATTACTTAACATAGCATTTAATTTTACATAATATAGAGCTTTTTCTTTCCGAATTATGCTAACCGTTAGGTTACGCTGAGTTTTGTAAAGATCCCAATCCCTAGGAAGTTTTCTTTTATTATACTTGCGCAACAATCTGTTACGCCTACGTATTGATCGTCTAATTATACTGTTCATCCAGGGTTTATCATTTGGACGAACAGTAATTACTCTCGAAGGTATAAAGTTGTTTACAATATTAAGAAATCGTGAAGACCAGGTCTCATAAAGGGTATCTATATCATAAACATCATTAAACAGAGATCCCCAATTGAAAGACAGCAGTGAGCTAGTCAGAAGGTTTTCGTTTACCACATTAAAATTATAGATTGTCCTCTTATACGTTCTATGACTGTAAACAGATAGATTGAATTTGGCAACAATAGCATTATGGTCACAATTTGCTGGTGGACTAAGTGTAAATTGACTCGTACAATACATAGGAGAGTCAGTAATAACTAAGTCCAAAATGGTTTCGCTAGTTTGATTCGAGTCGGTTCCTCAATTAATTGGAATAAATTATTACAGCTAAGGAAGCGCGCAAGATCTATGCCGCACTTAGTAGAAGATTGGTGGTCTTTAGGATTAAAATGTGCATTAAAGTCTCCAGTTATAACAACTGCGTTAAAATTCGAGCGATCAATTGCATCAAGACTATCTTGCAGCAACGCCAAAAAAACATCCATATCAGAAGTAAGGTGCGTGGGGGGTCTATAACAAACCCCGATCAAAATCTTAGAATTTAACAAAATAACTTCACACCACAATAGTTCTAGATTAGGCATCTCAAGATCAAACCTTCTCTTATAAGAGAGACAATTTTTCAAATAGAGAGCAACACCACCACCCCTGCAATGTGTTCTATTTTTTAATAACGGTAAATGATAGCCGTTCATATTATGTGAATCCTGAATGCTAACATTTGAAGTTAGCCATGTTTCTGTTAAAGCGAAAGCATCGAAATTATTAACTCCTAGAAAAGCGGAAATTTGATCAATTTTATCCTCGTTTACTATACTCCGAACATTTAAATGAGCTAGAGTAAAGTTCCGTGGTGAAGGTCCAGGATTAACATGAACATCAAACGATAAACAAATTAAAATGGTATAGAATGCCAACATGAGTGCGAACACCATCGCCGAACTTATTGTTGATTTAGCATATGAGTAACGAACTACAAATTTCCGAAAGTTATAAAGCCCAATAGCTGCTCGATAGCTTTCTAATGAATTACCCATACCATGAAAATCATAAAATCTTACCTTAGACTGCAGAAAATAGGTCAAGAGAATAAAATAAAGCGCCAAATAAGTATGGTTAAAGAATATAACAGTGCAAAAACAAAAATATATATGAAAATAAATAATGAATTCACCACAAAAGGAACAGCAACTAGTCTTCGTAAGAATTTACATCATCCTGAACCATTTCTAATTTTTGAATGTCTTCTTTGCAGCGTACTAAGTGGGTAGTCTCATCAGGTAGCTTCACAAACACCTTTCCGTCACTCGACCATGTTGCAGCAACGAAAGACGCACCGCGTGCTTCATAATAGAGATCTAAATTGTAAGCAGTAAGGTCTTCATTTATAAATAATCCTGCGGCCCCTTTAAGCTTACGGCGATGCTTGATAACTTCTGCTCTTAAACTTTACAATCATTTGGCGGTCTTTACTCCCACGCTTGCCAACTCGATGAATACGATCATATTCTGAATTTTCGATCGTTAACCCAAGCTTGCCTTGAAAAAATGTAGATACTTTTTCATAGCAGTCCTCTTCTGGGTCTTCTTTGATTCCACCGATACGAATATTGTATTTACGCGAGTATTGTTCGTTAGCATTCGTTTTTAGCATCAAATAGTTAATATCTTTCTTCATTTTATCATTAGCCAAGCGAAGGTCAATATTTTCCTTCGAGAGTCTTTGGACTGTGTCTTGAATAGGCTTTACAATGGCGGCCAACTCATCCTTGAGTGCGTCTTTTACGAGAGTAGACATCACTTTAGTCATCGTTTCACTTGTTAGCGATTTGGCAATTTCATCTTTAATGAGAGTCCGCATTTCTTCCCTGAATTTAACTATGTCTGGAGCTTCGGTTTTATTACACGATGCCCTTGTCTTTGGAACCGCCATAACGACAGTAATACGCAAACACAATGCCCAATGGAATAATGTAACTTATTTAAAACGATCAGCACTTGGGTATAGCTGCAATCCTTCCGTAGTTAGTAGGTTTTACATATACATATAGAAACCACTATAAATATAAACGATAGTGTAGTAATAATTGATAATATTTCACCAGACACGGAGCAACAAAAAACGTGACTTCTCTCTTGAACTAGATCAGCCGTTTGCACGTGCCGAAGGAAATCTCGCCGTTCAACTAAAAAATATATACTATAAAACATTTTGACAGTCCCAAAACTTATGTTGTACTAAACCCCAGGTATTGTTATTGATCCTGAGCTTTTAGTCCTTGTTTTAGTCGCTCTTAAACATAAATAAATTGGCGTTTTTCAAGTGATGTTATTTTCGTCATCGGCATCTTGTTGGCCACTATGAGCACTTTGAATATGGCAATATTTTTGTCAATTTTCAAATGCTTTTTTTTCGACCTTAAAACGTTAAATCTTCTTGAAACTTCGCATACAGATGTATTTTGCATGGGTATAAAAAATTCCTGAGGTGTGACGTCTTAGTTTTATCTTAATCTTCCAAAAACTCAGAAAAAGCAGCCTAAAACGCGCGGTTTTTCAGACCGTTCATGCTTTTGGTCGTGTTTTTTTCGTATTTTTTTGCTAATACATGATTTGTTTGCTTTGCGAATATTAAATTCATTTATAATACTACTGAATGATATAAATTAAATTTGGTAGTATAACTAATATTTTGGGGCAAGATTTTTCTGATCGAAAAATGTGCATATTTTGAAAAAAAAATTAAAAAGGACTGGGTCTACCTACAAAAAAAGCTTCAAGCACGGCTTCAACTTCCCCCCCTGACTTAGCCTTCCAGTTATTATTAGAGTTCACTGGTTGAACCCAATACCCTGTCTATGGACGTTTTAAAATCCTAAAACGTTCGTGACTTCACTGAGTTGGGGCCTTCGGTTTGTCTACCATACTGTATATTGTTTATTTGCCCATCCCTAGCCAGGCAAAAATATGCATGTAAGTAATTTAGTGTTATTCAAACTGTTCTACCCTTTCAACACCAGCACGCATTATAAGGCCAGTGTGAACGCCTGAGCAGGTGTCGTGTTTATATATAATTTGGGCACATAATTAACCCTTTCTTGAGAACTACGAATTACTCTTTAATTAAGAGATATATAATGCACTTGAATCACACTCACCATTCTAAATATGGCATGAGATCTGCTGCTTCGTTCATTCATATTCGTGCCGCCAATGTGTCGATTTTTCTCCCCAAATCTCATTACATCAAGAACCTCAGTCACACTGGTCACCACTTTTTCCGTCAGTTTTTCAACCGATATCTCCCTATCTACATTTTCACGAATTTTCAAATTTGTGGACTTGGGATTAAGAAGATCCGTAATGATTTCATTGTATATTTCCATGTATGAAACACGTAAAAGGAATTCTCGGTTTCGAGTCTTCGAGATGTATTTGAAGACTTCGTCTAGGGCATGGGGGATGATACCAGGCGTGTCCATGGAACCAGTCATGGTGTACGTCTTGCCCGATGATGTCTGGCCGTATGCAAACAGAGTGCCTGGAAATAGAATTAAGGTGGCTCGATAAAGTTTTCAACTTTTCAAAGAAATTATATTTCTGTTCATACGAGCCCATCTCGCCGTGGAACACGTCTGCATGAGTGAGATGTGCAGGCCCTTTGTTAATAGACAATTCCCAATATAGACTAATTTTAAAACTATAGGCAAGGAGATGCAAATAAATCACCACAGCTAGAAAGCGCATACAAAAATTAGTAAAATTGCCACGTTTGGTCGCGAAATGTTGTAAAATGCGCAAAATATAGCCTTGCAAAGTTTGCAAATTTTGTATACTTTTGTATTGCGTGTGGAAATTGCTACCATTTTCGGCCCAAATGTGGTAGCAATTTCTGCACGCAGTACGAAAGTATATACAATTTGCAAGGCTATATTCCGCATTTTAGAACATTTCGCAACCAAACTTTGCAATTTTACTCATTTTAGTATACTCTTTCCGCGACCTCGCCTTTGAACCTCGACTTCGTGTCGGTTTTTATTCACCGATAATCACCTCGCCTTCGGCGAATAATTGTTAAGTATTATCAGGTAGTGTTAGACTTTCCCAATGTTTTCGCGGCGCGGCTTCGTCGCTCACCGCTCGCTATTCGAGCATTTCGAGATTGACTTGTGGGCAAGTCTAAGGTAGTGTCAGTGGCGAAGCCAGATATCCTGCCTGTCCTGCTGAGCATGACATACAAAATTTCAGATAATGAATTTTTTACGCATATAATTATCAAAAGAAAACACTTTTATCCAGCTTGAAATATGTTCTTACATATTCTTAACTTCAACACGTTGCGCAGAAATTCTTAAACAGAGAAATTCATTATGTAACTAACGTTATTTAACTTATTTTGAATTAATATCGAGCCTTTGCCTGCATGCATGCAGGCAAAAGCAGGAAAAACGGGTGGCTTGCCCGAAGTTTAGTCCTGCTCAACTCAGGCGAGCAGGACAAACGTAAAATTCTAACGCATTTCATTGGCTAAAACAGCTCTCAAGAATGCAAAACACGCAAAAAAATGCCTTTTACTCCTGCTCGAGCTTCGACGCATGATAAACCTTCGAATATTCTTCTGAATTATTCATCTTCCGGTGGCGAAATAGATTTATGAATATGCAAATTAATCCGATTCAACCAAGCGTGTGTGAAAGTACACTGTACACGAGATGTTATTCTCTTACAAAGGTCTTTTAGTTCCAGTAGCAAATCTTTGAGAATCTACGCAATATATACAGTAGATTGATCTTATACATTACGGGCATTCAATCAAGTACAGAGCTAGGATGCATGATGGAGTGAGACACTGACAGTGTTGTTTTCAAATATATAAACATTTCAAACATGAATATTGAGATTCTACGCAATATATAAATTGATGTTATGTATTACCGACAATATTTAGACCGTATATTCATTATACATCGACTGTATAAAGCTACGTTTACACGCTGCGATTTGTCGGGCCGATTTTGGTAAATAATCGATGCCCCTTCTTCGACATTTAGCGATTTAAACGTTCAATTGAAGCTGTCCGCTCTCTCGTCTGTTTATATTATAGTTTTCTGCGTGCGAAAAGTTTTCAACAACTTTACAACGGAAGAAAAATCGTCGAATCGTGAGAAAAATCTGTGATTTTGTTGCAGATTTTTCTCCCGATTTTGTGAATCGCAAGGTGCTGACGCGAGTACTCACGACAGTTTATTTACATACAGCGAGCAAAATCGGCCCGACAAATCGCAGCGTGTAAACGTACCTTAAGGTGCTACACCACAGATTTACGCGCACGTCACGGACCTTGTTTACATGTCTAGCACTGTCACAACGCCAACGGCGCAAACTCATGTTCAGTGCAACTCTATCAGATCTTGCGAGAATCTATCTATCTGTATCAAAGCTTGTCAAAACTGCTATAAACACTGCTATAACTGTGAAAATATTGAAATCTAAAGTGACATTATTGAATACATCACATGCGAACATTTGGAATAAATCAAACGTCAAGGAGACTTGTTATTGTGAAACATGTCACAGGTTAAAATGCGGAAGCGGACAAAGCGAATTCCATGGAACGGATACGGGGATAAAATGCGGAACGGATGGGGATAAAACGAGTTTTTTCGCCTCTTTTTTTACGCTCCGAATGCAAATGAAGTTTTAGAATATGCAAAATTTGGTTGTTGGTCATTTTTGGCTAAAATCCCCTTCTTAAGGTCATATTGGAGCTTAGAATTCAATGCTCAAATCGCAGGAAATGGCATTTCCGGGGTTCTAATATAGAAAATTTTCCGGTGGGGCATGCCCCCAGACCCCCCTAGACAGCCTCGCGCCTTCGCCGCTCGAAGCATGACCAACAATTTTTGGCTGGCTTCGCCACTGGCCGTAGTGTATATATAACCAGTTATAAATTACCGTTAATTCCCTCCATGACAGAAAGTACGACTGGTTGTGCAAAATCTGTGTAGAGATCAAGCGTAGTATGGCTTTTGCTGAATATTCGATCTACAGAAAATTAAATGAGATCAATCGCACTACTCATTACAGTAACAATATTCGTTTGTGCTTTGTTAGTTATTAAGCGCCATGAACAATTTATTATGCTTTGTTATTTATTATATACAGCGCCATGAACATAGGATATATGCGCTTTAGAAATAAATTTTACTATTATTATTATTATGAATGAGACAGAGCAAATAACAAAGTACCAGTTGCCGAGGGCGTCAATTTGATTTAATTGTGTAATGTAACGCCAAAACATTCTCAACATTCTTTTCGACCATCAAGTGAAACGCTGCTGGAAAATGTTCGGTAGGATGAATAAATTTGTTTGATCAGATCGCAGGTGCGATAATTCGCGTACTTACGTACCGGAGGTACTACGTGTACGCCAATATTACGCTCTGGTACTTCTTTGTTTTCAGCCACGTACCACGTAGGTACGCGGAACTCTTGCTGCCTGCGTACTTACTTATTGCTGGTACCACATGACCAAGCCCAAGGTATTCAATACCGTGATTTGTAGTTGGTATATCATGTGTCTGAGATGTCTTGGCATGAAACATGATTAGACTGATAGCACTGAAGAAACGTTGGAGTCGATTGTTTGTATATTGCAATTGCGCTTCTTTTTCTACTTCGTAGTCTAAACATACTTTGCAGAAACCTGTAGTTTATGAACCTTATTTTAAAGACTAAGTACACATTGAGTACTGAGTTTGTTCTAGCGCAAGTGCGCGGTAACAACCATTGACGTACCAGTCAGGTACGACTGATAATCTTGAATTATCGCACCCTGCAGATCGATCATGTAAGGCAGGGATGCATCCAGCCAGATTTTGTGGTAGGGTGCTAATCAAGCTTTGGTCATGGTTCAGCCTTCAGGGTGCAACCGTTGACCAAGTACATAAGCACTAGAAGGAGCTACAGACTGTGCTGCCACTTGATGGCTTAATCAAGCTAACTGCCTGCGTCCTGTTAACCCTTTAAAGGGATATGGCAATATAAACTAAGTTTGTCTTATTTGAAAGAACATTTAAAATGATACATAAACTTCCTTTACAATTATTCCGTATCTTGCTTGGTTTTCTAAATAAATCGACTTACTTTGATCAAAAGCAGCGACCATTCCGCCATCTTGGATATGCATACGTCACAAGTAGGGTAATTTGCATTCGATATGCATACGTCACAAATAGGGTATAAAATATTCAGTTTATCTTGCAAACCACGTGTCATTATCAATATAAAACTCGATTTTCCAATTGTCTTTTTAGTACTCAATTAACTCACAACATTTTAAGAAACTTTTCGAAGAAATGTAGTCCCACATGAAGAAGTTTTGACAAGTTTACACTGCTTGTGACGTCATCAAAAACTCAGTTAATTAGATCAATTATATACTAAGATGGCGAACTGCACACTGTTTTTGATCAAAATATTTCGAAAACCAAGCAAGATGCGAAAGTCTTGGGTCTTCATACAGAACTTTAAAAGTTGTTTCAAATAAGACAAAGTTCATTTTTATTGCCATATCGCTTCAAGTGGCAGAAAGCAGCCTACTTTATTATTTTACTCTGTCAAACAGCAGACAATATTACTCATGAAGTGGACAGCGCTGACGGCAGCCTTAATGGGTTAACCAGGCTTTCTGGCATCCTTGTGTAGAAAAGTAGGATGGCAAGAAAGCCTGGTTAACCCATGGTCACCCTCGATGGGTAACCCATTAGGTCACAATGCAACTTGATGGTCGGTTAACTAGACACATGATTCACCAGTCTGGTTAACCTATTGAGCGAAAGCGCTATCCCCTTGACAAGCCAAATCATCTACATATACCATTAGACAGAGTAAAGTAATAATTAATAAAAGACTTAGGGCACATTAGGCGTAAAAAAAATACCTGTGGTTCCGGTTCCCGACCGACCCTATTTTTTCTGCCGACCCTATTATTTTTTCAACGCGATTGACTGTGCGACTCTATTTTCTCCAGGTGGTTGCGGGCTGCTCATACACAGCGTGACAAAATGGAGTCTGTTATCACACTAATTATTGAACCAAATTGCCTAAATTCGTCCATAGAAATACGCATCTCTAGTTAATATTGATGTCGGGGCTCTAAAGCAAATCGCCCAGCAAAAAAAACGTCAAAACCATGAAAAAAATATTCAAAAAAAAAATTTATTTCCGACCTACCGACCCTAATTTTTCACGATATGAAACCGGAACCACAGGTATTTTTTTTATGCCTAATAAGTGAAATGCAACTTAATGGCCAGGGTTAAATTTATGAACATCAATGAATGAGAAAGAGTTATATTAACTCTAGAGAGTTATATTAACTCTAGAAATACCGTCGATTGCAACTAAGCGGAAACACGTCATGAGAAAACGCGATCTACATGTAATTGGACATGAAACATAACATGTTTGGACTTCAAACTTTACATGATTTTGCTGGAAATATTTGACGGTTTACTATTATTTTTCCCGCGAAAACGTAACAAAGGTAGTACAAACATTGCAAACAATACTGAATTTGTCAAAACTCACAAATTTACAGAATGTTAGAAATTCACTAAGGCCTGTTTCATACGTCGAATTTAATTCAGACGAATTTAATCACGGATTTAGTGTTTGCAAGATAATCCCCGCCCAACATGAATGTGTTTCTAAATTTGGAATATTGACAGTTTACAGTTGAAACGTAAATGTTTGCAGTAAAATCATATGACGTTTGAAGTCCAAACACATCATGTTTGACAGTCAATTGGACGCGTTTTCTCACGACATGTTACCGCTTAGTTGCAATCGACGGTATTAGGGGTGTAGAAACCTCCGTATAAATGTAATAATTAGTTTGTCCTTACCAAAAGTAAATGTAGTATTTTGTATTTTCCTGCCGTCGTGAATTTGAGAGATGGTATCTCCATCAACCAACCAATGATCTTTACAATCGTTTTCCCTAACAACACAATATTTGTATACTTCATGTTAATTGTTCTAAGTCAGATACCCGACCATTTTTCATTTAAATTTTCGATTAACAAATTCCACAAATTCTTTTCAGATTTATAGAGAGGATTTTCTCCACAAAATTGTCTATTGGCTGAGGTATCTCTAGACTTGCCCCAAGTCTCTCTTTCATTGTCATATAGTATCGGTCCAGTATAGTGTACATTACATGACGTAGTACGGAGGGGCGGAGCGAGAAAGAGAGACTTGTCAACTTCGGAAAATCTCGGTTCAATACTGAACCGAAAATGCAAGACTTGCTTTAATTCTTTTCCTTCAATTTTTTCTTTATCATTTACTATAATGGAACTCATGTTATTTACATGTGCTAGATCAATACATTTTAACACTGACAGAAACGAATTAAAGCAAGTCTTGAATTTTCGGTTCAGTTTTGAACAGAAACCGTACCGCCCCTCCGTACGTCATGTAATGTACACTATAGTGGATCGATATGACAATGAAAGAGAGACTTGGAGCAAGTCTAAGGTATCTCAGACTGTGATTCTCTGTTTTGATATAATCGTTTTGAACAGCATTTTGACTGGCTGAATGACACACTCCCCTGTTACAAACTACTGTATAAACATTTCTTAAAATATTTACATTTATTATTATTAGCATGACAAAATTACTGGATGCTGATTGGTTGAGAGGAGTACAATTTTATTATTTCATTAATTGTACTGCAGCAGTACAATTAATGATTTTCCCAAAACAACCAAAATGGCGGAAAGGTATTTTAAACACAAATGCGAAATGAAAATGCCGTGGAGGAACTAGATGGAAATACGAACAAAAGCACCAAATTTTGGTTGAAAGTCTGGCAGGACTGGACTTTGGCGAGAGAATATGATGTTGACATTGAGAAGTACGCATCCCATTTTGTCATGCTAATAATAAACAAGTAATCATGCGACGTTGGTCGTATACAATTAGGGATTAATAATACTCGTGACGTTTGGAAATTTGTCACAACTTAAATGCTCAAATAAGAGTTACTGGATTATTTAGTATTAATTAAATGAGAATCAAAACTACTTTCAATTAAGAATGTGAACGAACATTGAAAGTGAAACACAAGCAATATATGATGCATATATTTTTTGTGTTTTGATGTTATGTACTCAGGTGAATATGTTTTTGAGTGTATATCCACACTGGACAGGCTGAAAAGTTAACCTGACCACGGTAGGAATCGAAGGTACTAGACTTTACTTCCGAAGTACCATGTACACTCGAACAGACTTGGCCTCGTAGCTCAGTTGGCAAAGCATTGGACTGGTATCCCAAAGGTCGCGGGTTCGACTCCCACCGTGGTCAGGCTAACTTTTCAGCCTGCCCGGTGTAGATATACACTCAGAGTAACATCAAAAACACAATATGCATATGTTACCCGCACTGCATGTACATGAAGGTGCATCCATCTTTAGTGTATGTAATAGACTAAGTGTGTAAAATTAAATGTATTGGACGATAGAATGAATTTATAACAAATGTTGTATGGCAAAATTAATGCATTTTTAGCAAATCTGGGACACCTAATTTTCAAAATGTTCTGGGGAGTATCAATCCACCTGATAGCTAGTTTCCCCCATGTTAATAACCTGATGTCATGTACTTATGTGACGTCACTTGTATATACAGTTACAGCTAGCATTCCATTCATATATTAAATTGAGTATTGATATAACCACTCAAAGAGCATGCCCCGTATTATCATACAATAAGAATACTACACCCTAGTAGAGCCCTTTTCTGGAGCTTGTATTTGCCTTAGGATCAGAGCCTTGGTGCATCAGTTATCTATGTTTATGTTATATTCCCAAAGTATTATTAAGATTCTCAGTGGACTGAAATAAATTTCTTTGGTTAAAATATAGCACGACATCCAGTTTCATTGACAACTTGTTGGTGTTACACAGTCCGAGTGTTGATTTACTTTATTATATTTCCAGAAAATTTTCAATGTTCTTTTGTGGTGCCAGAAAGTAAATTATATTTTCCACCCTCCGGTTGGCCTTAGTGGGCAGGCACATGTCCTAACCATTGGCATTACTTTAGACTAGTGGAAAGCTTGCTAATCGAGTAATCTCGTCTCTGCAAACATTTCATTTTAGATCGATCGTCTGATCCAATTGTCAGGTTTACAGCATATATGTCTGACTGCCAGACTGAATTCCGTCCACCAGCCACATTAAATCTTACCAGAAACCCATCCACCTATAGCAGGCAATTTGTTGTCAAGCGTGACAAAACCCAATTGTTGACAGTCCCCTACAGTATATCCCATTAACTCCTTTGTTTAGCAATCTTGTACAAAAAATATGTAAAGATGGTACACACACACCAACCATAAAATGTTAACCTAAATTGATTTATCTAGTATACGAATGGCTTGTGTCAAAGACCTAGCTTGTAATTTAGGAAAGTTGGACTGGACAGGCTTAATTACTCTCAATTTCAATTTACTTTTGAAAACGGACTTCCAAAGTTTATTTGTAACTTGTAAGTTCGGAATGTTTGTTGCAAAGTTTTGAAATTTGTTTCAAAGTTTGTTGTGATAATATCCGATGATCAAGTTTAGTAAGTTGCAATTGGCTATATAGCTAAATGAACCAGCCAATAAAATCAGCTCCTGTCGAATCATGATTGTAAGTCATCGGAACAAACTTCAAAACAAATTTCAAAACTTTGCAACAAACATTCCGGAGTTGCAAAGTTAACAAACAATCAAAGTCAGGTAGTTGCATCCCTATACCTTCGAAAGCTTGTTACATGAATTCTTTCAAAACAGCCCCAAGTCAAAACGGCCCCAAGTCAAAATGGCTAATTGCATGCCTTGAAATATTATTACACAATCATGTTCATACTACGGATTTTCTGCCAAGTTCTGAAGTTCTGAAAGCTAGGATTAGGTAATTTAGATTTTAAATATCGAATTATGGAGTTATTCTATTCCAATATTCTCAACTTCGTCTCCGTCGGTGAATATTCCCCAATAAACACAGCTTGCTGCCGGGGTGGTATGTTTGTTTTTTGTGCACCCAATATTTGATCAACTAAGGTGATCAGTAACATATGCACCAGTGGCTGCACAAATACCGTTTTAAATATATTCACATGTGCCGCCAAGTTGCAATATGAACACTTTTAGAGTGAGACAGAACAGATAATAAGCATTTCAAATATGTGCTGCAGTCAGTGCTGAATCAAATTCCCATTATTACATAGCTAAAATACAAACAGCAATGGCCTGCGAACAGGCTCTCAAGCTGAATTGAGAGCCTGCATCGATGACGAATGAATTTGAATATCTGCGTCTCAAATCGTGACGCGAAATACTTATTGGTCAGATGCTATAATTTATATTTCCGCTGAGCTCTATATATGTCAACTGCTGAAGCACTATGCATAAAAAACACATTAACTGATCAAATTGGTCTTGGCTATCTAAATCTCAAAGCACAAAATGTCCTGTTTTGAGAAAACAGTATTTAAAACATTTGAACTTAATTTGCTTGAATATCATATATATTTTCGAAAAACAGTATAAACTGTACGGTCTAAATTTAGTTTGCACGGTCTAAATTTAGTTTGCATGAAAGTTGTAAACAACACGATATAAGGATAGACATTCCATATTTGGAAACATGAACGTTACTGGGCAGATATTCAAATTCATCAGTCATGGATGCAGGCTCTCAATTCAGCTTGAGAGACTGTCCGCAGGCTAAAACAGAAATGGTTGAGAATGTTGTAGTGTGCACAACTAAATAAATTTTTGTACGCCAGTGCGCTAGCTACACCGGTTCATTTTCCCATTTCCACCAATCGAAGCGGGCCGTTTTGTTGACTTGGGCTGTTTTGGGACATCCCATTTAATAATTCCACACCCTCCCCTATGGACGAGGACAGTATAACTTTAACTCCTACGTTATAAGAAAACAAGACCAAAGTGCTGAGACAGACACAAAATTCCCTTGAGCAGAAACGAAATCGTGCAAGCAGTTAAAGCGAGCGTCATCCAATGGGGATGCATGCATCTAGTAACTTGCCGAGCATTCACACAAAAACAGTGGGTACACTATAGTTAGAACTCCGTAAATGGAATATTGGAATGGCCCTTTGACCAAGGCACCAAGCACCTTGTTCATATTAATTCTGTACTGTGTGTGACTAATTATTTTAACTTTTAAAATCTAGTTCTACAATCGATCTAACACAAAATCACAAATTCCTATCTTAGTCACACCAAATTGAAATAAAGCTTCATAAATTTCGATTAAATAATTTATATACATACCTTTTTATGAGCGGTCTGACGCGAATCGCTACTCGAATACTATCATCGAGCGAATTCGACATATTTTGATATTTTTTTCACAAGGCCGTTGGCTGCCCAAGCAGTATATTCAAGCAGTTTCCTTAAAGAAATTAAACCAGAAAGCAATGATGAATGAAAGCAAAAGAAAGATTTGCACAAAATATACACAATGTCTTGAGTATTAAAAATCGATGCTTTGTCGCCCGAAATGGTCGGTCGACTATAAAGCGCTTAAAAGTTGAGAATTAAAACGTTGTATTTACACGTTTTCTCTTCCGATTTCGCTTTAAATAAGATAATAAATCAACCTCACCTTGTACAAGTATAACAAGACTATTGATTGTTCATGAAACACCCAAACATTTCGCCCAGAAATTTATACACCAACAATAAAAAATTTTCAAACGAAGCACCAGAATTTAAATTGTTGAGACTTGAGAGAACAAATTCATTCTGCTTCCTGATTGGTGAAAATACAACATTCGTTACCAGCCTCTGGGAAAATCGCAATATTCATGAAGGCAACCGCTGAAGCGCCAATCTCGTTCCCCGAGCCTGCGATCCTTGGGAAGGAAACGAAGGCTCTGGGATAATCTAACCTGAAGTTCAGGCCCTAATCACAGAATAGGGCCTGACACAAAACCTATCTAAAGTGTGAGATTCCCGTCCACCTGGTGGACGGGAAATCTGATTGGTTGATCAGCATCATGAAGGATTTTGATTGGTTGCAAGTTTACATAAACAGTTTTAAAAATAGCTCGGTCAAGGCGACAATTAATATAAAGGTCAAACGCACGTACAAATTCCATTATCGATTTCTTCGAATTTCTTTTTCTTTTATGCTTTATGGCAGAAAATAAATCAAACAAACAGTATTTTGAAAGGGCTTTATCAAAATCTTGGACGAATTTTGGACACACGACGCCGAAAGAACAGCCAAACTAGTCATGTATTCGAAAGCTTGTTGTTGACAGCCAAGATGTTCTGCCAACTTGCTTCGCCGGCAAAAGTCTTATTTTTAATATCAGGTCCTACCGGCGTTGTTTTCTGAGCTACATCGCCTTCTTCGTGGTATGATTGAGAATTTAATTGTTGCTGTTATAAGCCCGTTAGTCGTTACAGTATATCCGCGTCCAGCAAGTTGAGACCTTGAGAAAGCTTGGCAGTCAAGCCGTGCACAGAACTGACTAATTAAATCTTTGTTTGCTGTTCGCCTGTTCGGTTAAATAAAGAAACTGACTCTTAATTATATAAAAGTACCTTGAATTTTTAAGTTTAATTAAAAAGCAAAATGCTCTGCGGACATGTTCATGAGAATATAATTTTCTTGTGTAACGAAATCTACAACACTTGTCAATCATATTGCATGTGTATCAAAAAAGGTTGTCCTTTGCAAACCTTAAACTCTAAACCTTAAACCTTAAACTCTAAGCGCACAAATCATAATGGAAATTATATATATATATATATATATATATATATATATATATATATATATATATATATATATATATATATATATATATATTATATATATATATATATTATATATATATATACTTATATATATATTATATATATATATTATATATATATATAACTTGCTTGGTTGTTGAAGCCAAAACGAGTACAGTGCTCGATGCGGGAAATTCGCAGAGCTTAATATGTTGTTCAAAATGAAAAAAATGAAAAATAAAAAATTTTAAAAAATTTAATGTGCTGCTACTTAAGTTTCACGTATTACGTGAAACTTAAGAGACAATGTCCACTAAAACCGAGCAAAATCGAGAATACGTGGCACATGAGGAAAAATAAAAAATCTTCTTATTTTTTCCAGTGATACTCTAATGTGTACTCAGAAACGGGTGGGGTTTGTTTTCTGAAATATTATTTTAAACGCCGAAAATTATCAAAACCTCACACCTACCCGAGATTCGCGAAATTGGCAAAAAATATTGTGAGCTACGGCCTCTCGAAAATTTCGTTTTTCTCAATTGGCGTGTGATGAAACCTGACCTTTCGTTTTTAAACGTGTTTATAAGATGTTTATAAAGAACGTGGGTCCAATTTGCAATTTTTGAAATGATTTTTCAATGTCAAGACAAGCGTGTAAAAATCGTCTTTTTTTGCGATTCAAAAAATTCTAAATTGTTACACTTTTTGAAAATTAATTTTCCGTATCCGGGAAAACTCCAATTTCCTTGAAATTTACGGAATTTAAAGACAAACTGTTGCTCTAAAACCTGATGTAAAAATTATTTTGGGGCTTTTTGTTACCGCGGAATTATACTGACTATAATATCGAGAAAATCACAAAAAAACCCTTAAAAATCCTCAGACAATTAGGCACTTTGCTTCAACTATAGACAGTCGAACGTTAATCATTCTTGCTTGTTTTCTCTTGTTATTGATAGGAAATATAAGACGTAGATAATTTTAAACTAGTTTGCCTATTTCTAGATAAAAATACGCTGTTAAACTCTCCAAGACTAAGATTTCTGCTTCAAATTCTTGTTTCAATTGATCGATCCATGCGCGCCAATTAAAATAAACTACAAACACTTGTACACTCGCTTGATTCAAAGCTATATACTTACTATAAACAGTCAATTACTTATATTTGAGCATGTTGTGCTCTGAGCAGTTCAGTTTAAGCGTCAAACTTCGGCCTTATTTTCATTGAAGCCGGGCAAGTTCAGTCGTTTAATTAAAGGGACAGGGCCGTTCCTATAGCGTGATAATTGGGGGTGTATATTCATATATTCGTCTTCTGCCCGATCGATTGAAAGCGATTGTTTTTACGGTAGCGAGCATGAATATATGAATATACCCCCCCCCCATTATCGCGTCTAGGAACGGCCCTGTTGAGGGATATGATCGGAAATAGCATGAATATAGAAATTAGATTCCCTTATCTGAAAGAACTTTTAAAATGACGTGGAAAACATTTTACAACCTCGTTCCCAGGGTATTTAGGAAATACCCTGGTATGGGCTGGTCAAGTGCCTCGTCCAAAATTTAGCGCCCGAGGGGGTGTGGGGAAAGTATCAAATTACATGATTTCAGTGGAGATATTTTGTTTAACATTTAAAAACATAAATTTTGCGAATTATTAAGTTCAAAATACTTGCTAATTTTTGTTTATTTTCGTTGCTTTGAATTTACAAGAACATTCTTACATTTTTACCAACAGTCAAGTCAAGAAACCAAGCAAATCGTTACTCACAATGCCGCTCTCTCGTGTTGTTATTCAATGCCGTCTCTTCACACTCGAGCGCGGTTTTATAACAAACGTTTATTATGAGATTTTCAGTCATCATTTTTATAGATTATAGTATACTGTCGTTTGACTTATCTTTGATGTATGATTTTAATACTGTAGATTTTCAACAGACAGCTAGACTTTAACAGATACCATGATTGTTGAGTTTCAGCAATGCCAAGGGCCAATGCAGGAAGTTTTATAAGTTTTTATAGTCAACAATCTGGATACAGTTGGCGTCTTGGCTTGACGATATTTCGGAAAACAAAAGATCTCGCTATTTCGTTGCAATTCCATGCCACATCTCATCAATAAATAAATTCTTCTGGTTCGAGTATCTAGATATACTTTACTAACAGTTAAATAAATGAATAACCACATTGTTCGGTCTAGATATATATATTTTCTTGTACTGCTTTATATTGCCACGCCGTTCACGCGTTCTTTCTCACTGACAAGTCTATAAGTTGAAATCTGATCCAACTTGCTTGAATTGTAACTCGACACTAGATTATATAGAGTAGAAAGTCACATCACGATAAATATTAATTTTTAATTGCAGTTCTTTTCACGATTTCTTTGAAGATTCAATGCATATTGTTTATATTTATAGAGCGATCTAATTAATTGTGACAATATATACTCACTCCCCCGACCCTAGTAAACAATACGCCATTTTACGCAAAATCCACGAGTCACGTGACCAGCCCATACCAGGGTATTTCGCTCCCCAAGAGCAAATACCCTGGGAACGAGGTTGAACATTTTAAAGCTTTTTTTAAATCTCGCTTATTTCTCGACCTTAAGAAAAACTTCTGTTGTGATGGAAGTTTTCTTATATATTTTAGCCGTTGAATAACACAATGCCCTGTTGATCTAATAAAGTTATATAATACTGGAAAGAATTTTCAGACAGTGAAAGAACATGCAGCGAATAACCTAAATGTCTTCAGAACTGCTATTCGCAAAAAAATATTTGTAGCTAAATATCTATTTACTAATAAAAAATTACCAGTATATATTCAGTGGTATAGTCGGGAAACAAAAAACAGTTTTAGAGAGGGCAAGCCTATTTTCCTGATGATACTGCGTCCAAACTGATCTTCACTTAAGGTGGCTCCCTACAGTTATAGTCCAGTTTAAAATATTTATATAGCTCAGACGTCATCCTCGCGACTCGCGCGTGGAATCGTCGTGGCCCGGTAAAAATCTTGAAACAAGTAAACAAGCCGCGGGAAGTTGTTTTTGTATTTTTATCTACAAAGAAAACGCCAGTTTTTATTATAATCCTAAACTTTTTAACATTCGAACAGTACGTATGTTGTTAGCTAGTTTTTACCTACATTCAGTGTGTTTTTTTTAATATATTTAATACGTTCAGTACTGTATTTCATAATGCTCACAATGTTCAACAACAGTGTCACGGACTGAAATCACGGGGCGAAAAAACAGATTTGCAATAAATTTGCACACTTGCAAATTAGTTGCAAATTCAATAACTAATTTTGCAATAAATTTGCGTATGAAGTGTTTTAGATTTGCAACTACTAAATTTACTTCAAAATTGCAAGCTGCTTTGCACAATTTGCAAATTTATTTGCAACTTTGCAATAAATTTGCCAGCGAAGTAAATTCATTGCGTAAATTGACTTTGCAAAAAAAATACTAATGACTTTGCCATAACAAATTTCCTGTGGCATATGTATTTTTAAATTTACAACAAATTTGCTAGCGAAGTAAATCAGTTGCGTATTTATTACAAATTTTAATTCGCCTTAACTTTGCAAGAAATTACTAATGCCTTTGCAATATGAATTTTCAATGGCAAATTTATATCTAAATTTACAACAAATTTGCAAGCGAAAAAAATTCGTTGCGTATATTAACTTTGCAAGAAATTACTAATGCCTTTCCAATATGAATTTTCCATGGCAAATTTATATCTAAATTTACAACAAATTTGCAAGCGAAACAAATTCATTGCGTATATTGACTTGGCAAGAAATTACTAATGCCATTGCCATATGAAATTTCAATGGCAAATTTATATCTAAATTTACAACAAATTTGCAAGCGAAACAAATTCATTGCGTATATTGAGTTTGCAAGAAATTACTAATGCCATTGCCATATGAAATTTCAATGGCAAATTTATATCTAAATTTACAACAAATTTGCAAGC